TATTAATCGTAATTTTATAGTAACATTTTTTATGGTAAAAAGCCTAAAAAAACTGTATGATACCATTTCTCACTATAGAATATTTTTATATTTAAGAAATGTATAAGAGCAAACAGATGCACCGAGCTAGAGCAAACCAGCTAGTCAACGGGCACTGTCTGATTGTCGAACACGCCATTAGAATGGGGCCCATCGAGCACCTATGCTGATGATATGGTGGATCATGTTCTGTACTTGAGTCCGGCTTTGGCACGGGGGAGACGGAGGTTTCTTTGCTCGCATTTCTTTATGCGGATTATGGATCTGGGGAATGTAAATGCCGGGCATTTAAACCGATTAGTAAAGGACTCAGCCTGATTCACAAAGTAGGCCTGTCTGGCGTAAGTATATCTTCTGAATGCTTGCAATCAATAGCTGTGAAAGTTTTTAATATAGGATAATAATTTCTTACAATGGAATGCTATAAACTCCTTTAATTTATATTTTATTTACAAAAAAATCTGAATTAAACTCAAAAATTCATTCATTCATCTTGAAATTGTTCAATTGCATTTTTATTACTCAAAATTGTTCTTATCTTCCCGCTTTAATTAACAAAACACAATTTTTTTTTTTTGATTAATAAAAATTGTATTGAATTCTTCCTCTTCAGCTGACATTAGGAAAACCGCAAATTAATATTAAAATGTTATACACAAATTTCTACTGATGTCAACGCATACACCCAAACTCTGGACGAGTTCTTTTTTGCTAAAAATATTCTCAAATTTCTCAAAATATTATGACAAAATTTTATCAATGAAATTCCATCAATCCGTTCATTAATTTTTGTTTTTTGTTTCACTTTATAATTTTCATATTAACCAAACGACTAACCGTAGTTTTCAATTTCATTCAATTTACTGATCTCATTTTATTTTTCTTATTTTTTAAAAATTAACACGTTTTTATAATATTTTTCCCTCTCACTTATTTCGAAATATGATGAAAATTTTTTCACATGTCTTTCTTACCAATTAATTTAAAAATTGACTCTTATAAATTTTTTTGACCAAAGGAAGTTCTTATAAGTATATGGTGCGATATAATTTGCATATATGTAGTACTACAAAAACCCTAACTTTATTGATCTAAAGAAAAGATGATCAAACGAAAACCACGTGTATTGGATGTATTTACTAAACATTCATTGTGTATATGTGCGTATATGGAACCGAAACCAATAAACTTTTGCTATTCATTTTTCTTTTATTGGAAGTTTTTCTCCTAAAATCTTTTTATATAGTAAATTTGACCCCTTCAAAATAAACAAAAATAACAGAAATTTTACCAACAATATTAAGTTTAACAAGTTTTATGTGGTTTAATTTGTGGAATATAATTATAATCTAAGTAATGTAGGTTCAATTGATCCCAGGTAGCAAAAAAAATTTATTTTTCATTTTTTCCAATTCGACATCGTCCATTTTATAAGAGTACTTTATTATATTTTTAAGAGAATGAATTTTATTTAATTAAAAGATTCAAAATTCTACTCTTATTTACATTAAATAACACCGAGCTATACTTTTAATTGATAATATACATTTTTCGGTCGTAAAAATATTATTGAAACATTGATGAACTTGTTTTGTGTAATTGATACAAAAAGAACAACATCAAAGCTATAGCTGCAAACTGCCACTGGCAAAATTAAATATACTTTACAAAACCATAACTATCCTAATCCAGTTCTATGTCAACTCGATAAGCAGAAAACGTAAAATAAAATTAAATTATTTTAGTATTGCTTATTATTTTTCATTTGAATTTATTTAGAGATTTCGAAGAAAATATTAAGAACAGGTTAAAACAGGTGTCGAAGAATCATTTACGAAATATTTTGAACCCAACAAATATATACCTGTTCATCTAACCTAACCTTACAAAAATTGAATTAAGACTGCAATAAAGAAGAAGAAATTGTGAAAACGGCGAAATTACCAGAATTCTGGAAATCATCCGAAACAGTTGCTAAAAGTCCAAAAATTACCCGAAAATACCCGATTCAACACAAAATTGTCTAAGTTTTTATTATTATTGTTCCAAAAACATTCATACAGGCTTTAATGCTCACACATTCATTAAACATTATTATATTAATCTAGTATTAAAAATAAAAATGCTACCTGGGAATTTATCAAAAAAAAAAAATTGTAACATTATGATAAAACTTATATGCAAAATCAAAAAAAAATTTTTAAAAGAATTTTATTTGTAAAAAAAGGAAGACTAATCATAATAAAAATGACCAAAAATGAGCAAAACAAATATAGAGAAAAAAATGCATTCGTATGAACGTTTGTAATACAAAAACATACCAAAAAGGACAAGTAACCAAAGGCGATTACAACAACAACCAAATCAGACAAAAAAAAAATTTACTTTTCATTTTTGTCATCTCCTTAACATTATCCTGGGAATAACAAAACACTTGCATACAATAATATCCAAAATAAAGCAACAAATAAAAAGAAAAAATTGGCATTCCATAAATGTAATCTCAAACTCGGGATATCTTCGTCATCATCATTATCAAAGTACAATGTGTACAATAAGAAACAAAAATAAAAAAAAAAACTTTGTAATATTCAAGTATTCCAAAAGAACAAGAAGCACAAAAATTGAATCCTGACTTAAGGAATTTTTCAAGTAAATACAAAATGAAAAAAATTAGGATAAAAAAACGACAGCTGCATTTAATTCACATTTTTTTTTTGTCTTTAAATTTATTATTTTTTTATTTTCTTCTGTTCCTTAAAGGTTGCTAAAGATATTAAGAGCTAAATTAACAAAATAAAAATAAAAAAAAGCAACAATAATAAGAAGAAAACTAAAAAAAAAAAGGCCATGTGTCTTAGACTTGTGGGAAACTCACTTCATCCAAGTTTCCCACGAGCCAAGAATCTCATATTATATTGACGCTTATAAAAGGTTCAAATATCAAATAAAAAGAAAATAATTTATAGAAAAAAAAAGGTATACGCTTTATGGAAATGTATATATTGTATACCCTTATATAATATTGTGAATAAGGACAATAATATAAAAATAATGAAAAGGAATAAGGATAGAATATTATACATGTGCGTTTGTGTATGTATGCATGTTTTATTAAATACTCGAATCATATATATACGTGTACTTTATGTTTACAATTTATAATAAGGTAACATATTGTTCAAAAAAAAAAAAAAATAGAATAATATGCAATGGGTATAAGGTTTTGGTTTGTATATTAATTCGGATCAGTTTTAAAGTATGCGCTCATATACATAGCATTTATTTCATGCTGAGTTTTTCAATTCTTTTAATTGTTGGTAGTTATACTATCATCAGTTGTATGTAAAATTAACAAAAGAAATTAACTTACTTTTGTTTTTATTATAATATTACGAATTTAGTCCTTTATCATAACGTTTTCGCTATAATGTATACATACATACATACTAGATTATAATGGCACAATTTTTGGATTATGAAAATTAAAGCAGATTATTCGATTTTAATAAAAAAATTTTGTAGAAAATTAAAGCTTTTATAATTAATGTAAAATTTTTTCAAGAATTTTCACAGAATTTTGTAATCTCCCCCCCCCCCCCCCCCATAATTGGTTTAGTATACATACATATAAAAAATCACTGTTTGAACAATGCACACATGAATACGAATGTAAATAATGCAAACCAAAAAAAACAAGTGCAGGAGCTAAAAATTTATAACGCAATATTACAATCGCCAAAATATGATGATTTTAATTTAATAGTCTTGCCTTACGTAATATAAACAATAAGTTCTAAGCTGCAACAAAAAATTTTGTTCGTCCCATTGTGCAATTTGACTCTGCATCTGTCTTATACAATTCTTAAAAAGGATTTTATATTAGATCTTTATCATGAAATTATAATCTTATAAGTATATTTGAGCTGAATTTGAGCTTTAGCTTTGTGTATTAAGTAATTTTTCTTAAAATTTCATCATATACCTGTTCATATGTGGCTACTAAATTTGTCAGAATATTTTTATTTGAAAATACTGGATAATTAGAAGCCTACTATAGTACGTTCTCAGGATTAATAACTAATATAGACCAAATATTCTTACAACTCATGACTAAATTTACAATAATTAAATTCAAACTGAATTATCGAATTAAACTAATAATGCTCATCTTAATTGTATAAGCCGGAAAAAGAGGACTTAAATTTTATTTTTATGAAAACGTATATTTAATATTTAATTCAACATTTTTTTTTATTTGTCAATAAATGTTATTACTAATTTCATTTACACCTTTTTTCCTTCACATTACCTTTTAATATTTCATAGTTCACTTAAACAGCATATACTGCAAAAAAAAAAAAACAAATACAGAAGCTAATAAAGTAAAAACTAAAGCAAAAAATATCAAAACTTCCATCACCTATCACAAAATATCCTTTAAACTTGTATTAAATAACAATGCTTTAATATATTATGGTATTTCCATTTCATGCACTACATGCACTCATGTTCTACAAATATTTTATTACATACCTAAATACATACGTTATATACATACAGACATAACAAAAAGGACAAAGAGAAAAAAATTTAACCTATACATATGTGCGTACAATACTAAATTTCAGACAGGATGCATTCAATTAGAAAAATTCCTTTTACGAGAAAAAAAAAAATATTTTCCCATGATTTTTATAAAAGGCATTTTTCTATAGTACTTAGTTGCATGTGTTTAAGGATAACAAAAACAAAAAAAAATAAAAAATAAAAATATTGAAACGAAATATGTGTGCGAGTACATTCGGTGAGTATATAAAGGAGAGAATATTTCAGTACTAACATCATTCGTTAACAAACGATCACCGAGTTAACATTGGTTATAAAGAGAAAAATTTTTATAATAAAAATATTTTTTAAAAATTTTCAATTTTTATTAAATTAAAAAAACAAAAATGGAATCATCAAAAATTTCAAAAACTCAACAATATCGTAAAGTAATGAAACCAATGCTTGAACGTAAACGTCGTGCAAGAATTAATAAATGTTTGGATCAATTAAAGGATTTAATTATTGAATGTATGAAAGAAGATGACGAACATATTTTAAAATTAGAAAAAGCTGATATACTTGAACATACTGTGGAATATTTACATAAAATTAAAGCAAATGAAAAACAAAATAATATTTTAAAACAAACAAAAACCGATAATAAAGAAAATATTAAGGAAAGTTTTCGTAATGGTTACATTTATGCAGCAAATGAAATATCAAAAATTTTGGCAACAACACGTGGTGTCGATACAAAATTCGGAATACAATTAATGAGTCATCTTGGATATAAATTGAATAGTTTAACAATTCCGACAACAACACCAACATCTACTATCACAGCTAGTGCCACAACATCTAATATAAATCAATTAGAATTATCGTCAGGACATCAAAAATCATATTATTACAATCAACAAAAACCACAAGAATCATATCGTCAACAGCGATCATTTAGTCCAATATCAATAAATACATCAGCTTTAAGTCCTGTATCATCTGGTTACCATAGCAATTTATCATCACCAACACTAAGTGAAGATTCATTATCATCATCATCAAAATTAGTTGATTACAATTCACAATATAGTTACAACACTACTAAAAATAACTTTTCAATGAACACCAATTACAATAATTCTAATTTTAATAATAATTGTAATAAAGAAAATGTTTGGAGACCATGGTGAATTATTGAATTAGATTTTAACAAACATGGAATTTAAATATTATACACAGTAAATGGTAAACATTTTACATGGTATAACGGCATAATATTAAACCATATTATGAGAACAATAACAGATGATGGCATATATTACTTTTCAATATTGGCATAAATGAAAACAATCTTCTTCACTGAAAAGTAAAAAAAAAAAACAGGACATAAGCATGACTAATTGTGATTTAATAAAAAATATAGTGAAAGGACAACATTTTATGTCGAAAAGGGAATGCTATCTGCATTTTGTAAGGGGTTGCAATATCACAATTTATGTTATGGTTGTTATACACAAAGAATTTGTGTGTGTATGAATGAAATAGATAACAACAGCAACAACTAATAAAACAACTGTGATTTTATTCGCTGTGATTGATGTTTTTTATTCACGCAAAAAACCGTAAAAAAAAGTAATAGAAAAAAAAAATAGAAAACTTGTACTTTAAAATTTAGATTTTATAATTAATTATTAGAAAAATGTAAAATTAAAACTAATAAAAAGTATATTAAAATTTTAAAATTGTTAAAATAGAAAAAATTTTTTTTATTATTTTATTAGATTTTTAATTAAAATAATTTTTAGTTTTCGTTCTACTCGTAAACAAATTTACCACCTCTTCGAAATTCTTTTAAACCCTAATCAAATAAATATGTATGAAAAAATCTATTGTAAACAATCTTATGTCGATATTTTCGAAAATGAAAACATTTGTTTAAAATGAATTGTGCTTTAAAGTGCATATTTTGGCACACATTTCTTATTTGAAATTCAAAACATATTGAATTTCAGGAAGGGGTCGTAAAGCATATGTAGTTAAATTATTTAAATGATTGGGCAAAACAATGTATACGTGCAGTTAATGATGAATTTTTAATAATATCGAACGAAAAAAAGGGTTTTAGTTTATGATTATTATTTAATATTTAATGAAATAATATTAAAATATATTAGAAAATAATTGTGGGGGGGTATACATTAAAACATTGCGATGAGATTTAAAATGGGGACAGTCAAACTGCCATCAGAACGTTGAATTCATTATCAGTATCTTCCTTGGCATTGTGGGGCTGTCTTCAGAAGCTCAACGAATAGATGCAGGTAAATGGATTCATACAACCTATTCATACTGTGCCGGGAGCCTAATATGTGAGTATGGAAAAAAATTAAGAGGTCAACGGTGGAAATGGAGGCTAGCTCACCTTTTCTTGGAGCGAAACCTTTCTGCGAAATCGGGCCACATACGGTGCCGAATTATTATTTATTATTTTAATAATTAAGAAAGAAAATATAGATGCGGCGTTCGAATCAATCAAAATTATTTATGTTAACAGCGCCACATGAGCAAAAATCAAGAGAATGTCCCACAACATGGTGCAATAACAAAACAATACAATGGTTCGATGCTACCACCAGATGTGAAGAAAGAGAAATAAGAGAAAAAAATTAGTGAGTCAAATAAGACCGACTAACAATTTGTTACAGATTTTTTTTTAAATTTTTGTGAGTCTAATATTATTTCAGTCCGTTAATTAGGTGTTCTGTCATTCATATGCGCCAATTTAAATCATAAAATTCTATGATGAAAAAAAATGACATTGAAAAAAGTCACATATTTTCCACACACTTAAATTTTCACCACTCATATGATTTATTAATTTAAAATGACATCCTAATTAAATAATTTTTCAAGAGTGACATAATAAAAAAATCATATTTTTTAAAATATTTTAAACATATTTTTAATTTTTAAATTTTTTTTTCTTTTTGCACTCAATTGAATTCATTCTTTTTCATTATAATGAATGACAAGTACTGATAAAGTGTATATACAGTTTAATGTCCTCATAAAAATTTAATAAGCAAAGATTTTACAACAGATGTCCTTTATTTTATGTAAGTATTTATTTGTGCACAATTACACATATATACATATTGCGATATTTGACAATTATTGTGTGTATAAGAAGAGAAGAAAATAATAAAATTGAAAAATTTGTTTTGGTTTTTTTTTTTTGCTTTTATCGAAAAAAAATTTTGCATCAATTTGTATACCTTCAAAAAATTTTTTTTTATTAAAATTTATTTATTATTGTACCTTCAATTATAAGGTATATTTTGCACACAATGTTTTGCCTTACAAAATTTTATGATTATAAAATTAAATTCAAAACAGTATCGAACAAACGGACAACAAAAGAACAAAATCAGATCGTACTCAAAGTTTAACTTTTAAGGCTCAGTTGAAAATAACGAAGGTATAGCTGTATTTATTTCTTCTAGCATTTCTCTTGAGAATTCAACAAATGAAAGCTAATATCGTATAATCACAATTTTCGCCTCATTGTATACAATCAGTACTGGACACGGTAATTATAAGCAAGATTTTTGATACTCGTATAACCGAAAATTATCATCTGTTCTCTTTTCATATCTATTCATTTAAAAAATTATTACAAGTTTACTGCGAAAGAGCTTCAAAATAAATTTATTGTACATTACATACGTTAAAAAATAATTTTGATGACGCTTCTTATATCCAACATATAGATTGTTCTTTTAATTAAAAAAAATAAAAGATAATAAAATCAGATTTCTGCATGGTCTTCAATATAGAATTTTGTATATAAAAAAAGTACCTTCGATATTATTTTATCGTCTTATAGTCAACTATTTATAGAAGATTCTAGTAAAAATAGTTTGGTTGTGTTATGTATGTGTACATATGAGTGTTGATGTGCTCCGCTATTACTTTATTTGCAATTTGAGTATTATTTCTTAAGTTGCCACATCCTTAAGAATAAATATAGAATAAAATCATCCATTACTAGTCATGCCTTTATAAATTAATAAAGTCTGTTTAATATAAAATTTTTATAATTTTTAATTTAATCACTAAATATTTTGATTCAAAAAATACTAAAATTTAGAACCCAACGCTGTATTAGCAAAATTAATGTCTTTATTACAAGTACATTCGCTTGTATCATTGACATCATACCCAATGACCAAGCTAAAAATGATTTTATTTTTTTTATTTTTGGGTTTTTGAATTTTTTGACCTTGGACTTGTGTATATAGGTATGTAGTAAAATATTTTAAACAAACACATATAATAATATAAAAATGCTTCTCATTTCATCCTGTAGTAAAATGTCCAACTATATTAACCTCAATTTTTACAATCCTTAATAATTTGGCGTTCGATTTAATTTTTGTTTTATTAAATCATCTATGTATACGTGATACTAAAGGAGTTTCCCGACATTATATTTTGAAAATGATTTCCAATTTTTTCAAATTGAACTTGATTTGTATAAGGTTTGAAGTAACGCATGTGTTTGGAAGGATAAAAAAAGAAAATTTTGATTTACAACTGTTTCGCTGTTCAGCCACTAAATATTGTTAATTACGGAATAAATTTTTCAAAAATTTTTGAAATATTGAATTTTTTAATAAATTAAAAAAAAAAATCATTTGAAGTCTTAAATCAGACATCATAAACTCCTGGTTTTTTTTAGTCCTTACACCGAAACTTTAAAAGATTTTTCATCACAAATTATAGAGCGTTTTGCTTTTTTTGAAAAAACATTGTTATTTGCTCTCAGTACGGAATATAGATTACAAAACGAAACAAGACGAAGCAAATGCAAGCCAGGATTTTTAACAAAAATTCTTCCACTCCATCTGCAATATTTTGTATACTGCCACAAGCAGTACCAACAATCTATATCAATTTGTTGAAATTATTTGGAAAACTCCTTAAATATTGCACAAAATTTAAAAAAAAAAAAAATTGTTCTTCAGAAATCATATGATTTAAAAAAATCATGAAATACAAGTGTAAGAACATGATTTTCCAATATGTTCAAACCGAAATTCCTTGAACTTTCTTTTCAACTATAAAACCATATTAATCGTAATAAAATGAAATTCATTTCATTTGTCTAACAAATTAATGTAGAAAAATAAAACTGAAGAAAATTATTTTGAAAAGAAATTTTCATTTCTATAAAGATTTTGTTGACTCATTTTGTTGATAGCTGCACCTATATAAATTGTGAAATTTTTTAGTGAAAAGAAAAAAAAAAAAAATAAAAATCTCAAATTTCTACTTGTAAAAAATTGTTCCCCTAAAAATTTTTTATAACAAGTCTTCAATTCTTTAATTTTTTTTTTTTTTCTGAATGAATGGAACCCTCCCACAGCACTTAAAATCACAACATTGTCACTAAATATTGTTTTATATGAAAAAAGAAAAATAAAATAAAAGAATTACAGCGTATTTTCCTGTTAAAGGAAATACGTGTCCATCGTTTTGTGTATCCTTTTTTTCTTATTATTATTGTTGTTCTTTTTTCTTCTTGCACTATATACTATGGTATTGAATATAATTTTCAATCTTTATATCTTTCTTCTTCTTCTTTTTTTTGTTATTTTTAAGTTAAACAATTTCCAATTATTGGTAACATTTTAATGTTCCTATATTAATGCGATGAAAATTAAGTTTCTATTCATTTTCATTTCATAAACATTATAAGGACGACCTAATTGTCATAGTGGTCTTCTATAATAGAATTCTTATCGTCTAAGTAATACATACGTTATATAAATTTATAGAGTTGCGAAATACTTTGGAAAGTTCCAATAATAGTAAAACGTTTCTTATTAAATTTTTCTTTTTTTAAGTAGAGTATTGGTTTACCTTTCGATATAAATAAAAAAAAAATACAAAGAAAAACAGCAACAAAAAAAAAAAAAATAGAATATTGTTTTGCAGTTTACGATGGTTTTTGTGATTTAATAAAAATGTTTTTATAATATAAAAATCGTGGTTTTTTATTTTTCTCGCCAATTTTTACCTACATATCAATATTAAGGAGAATATTTTAGCAATTTTCGAACAAAACCAATCCGTCCGTCTGTTAATCTATCAGTTTGATTCTTCTATTTCTTCAGAATAAAATTTTTACGCATATCAACCCCTTCAAAAACTACTCAGTGTTCTAAAAATACCATATTTTGGCCACATTTATTGTATTGAAACAACAAATATTTTTTTTAAATTCCGAAAACGCAGTCAAAGTAAGTACCGATTTTTTCTATTATTATCGTGAAATAGCATTAAGATGCATTACCATTTCAAAATGACCACTGAAATTAACCATTATCTTAAACACGGTTTACTTTTTGCATTTTAAATTTTTAGCATAGTTTTTGAAAACAATCGTGCTATTGCATACTTTTCGGATGAAACAAAGCTTTTAATTTGTTTTGCTCCAAAAAGTATGCAATTTTTTTTCAATATATGATCTTGGTAGGTTATCAATTAAAGATGATGACGAATTTTTTAAAACATCATTGTTATTTAGTTGATCAGGGGAAAAGTGCTACTCACTGTTAATATTGTTCATCTTTATTCTTACTAATAATTATACGAGCTCACAAATTACTATTATTCTTCTAATGAAAATATATTCGTTTTATAGAAAGAAATTTCTTCATAAAAACTACAATTATTTTGGAATTCAAATAAAATTCAAATTGAAAAACATATAACGGGAACTTAAGAACGAAATTTATAATTCAAAAGGCTTAAGAAGCCCTTAAATCACTTGGAAAAAATTTGAGAAATATTAGGCTTATATAATATTAGTTAGTATAAATACGAGTACTCTAAAAGCATTGATACTCTATATATAAAATAATTGAAATATTTTTTTGTTACGAAAATTATTGAGTACAAATTTGAATTTCATAGCACCCATATATTTATTTTTTGAATATTTTCAAAATTTTCCCAAATTATTTTCTATATTTTTGATTCTGTATCTCGCAATTTGATTTTTACCAACAAGCCACTGTTGTTCCCCACCGTTTCCAAGAAGACATCTTTGTTAGAAATCTGTATACTAAAAATGGCCAAATCCGTTCGTATTTTAATAGTCCATTTCCAGAAAGTTTAAATAAATTATCTCAGTTAAATTAACCTCAGTTTAAAAATTATTTTTCTAGAAAAAATTCTCATTACCAGCACTCATAGTTGACTCTCGGTAACTTAAATATAGAATAAATTCAGAGGAATCAGTCATTTAAATGGTAATTTATAACAGTAAAATCCTCATCATCTCATCTAACTTATTAAAAACTTTACTTGGAGTTGTGAAAAAATTTCGTACAATTTAATTTTAAAAATTGTACTTGTACCCTTATTTTAAATAGTACATAGGTACAAGCATATGTGTATAAGTATAAATTAAAATACGAAGGTGAATATATTCTTTATATGCACATAATATACTACTATATTACACATAATATACACACAATATATATTTATATAACATAATATATGTATATATAAATGTTATAATAAAAAAATCATACAAAAATCGTATGATTTTTCTTGAATTTTCTTACCTTGTTAAAATTTTTTCGATCATTTAACAATATTTTTATGTAACGTAAACAATACTCCATTTTGTCTCCATTTTCCAATTATAACCATTTTTATGATTGTATATAGTTATTGGAATTTTTAATAGAAATGATGACTTTTGTATTTTTATTAATGAAATAAGCATTATAAGTTTAAATAAAATGAAAAAGCAACAAAAAATAGAAAAGAGAAGAGAAAATCGCAATAGAACGTTGCATATAAGGAATTTTATTTTTTTTTTTCATTGTTAAAAATCTTTAAAAACATAAAAATCCTTGACTAAGGTAGAGGTTTTTCCCCATATATAACAAAAACAAATAATTCTATATAGAATGTAAATCACATTCGAAACGTTTGTATATGGAAATGTGTCTTTCAAATAGGGCGGATATCGTTATTTTCAAAATTTATAACTGGCGAAAAATATAAAAAAAAAATTATATCTGTAAATTAAATGTAGCGATGAGGTCAACATATCGACATTTTTTGTATTTTTTTTTCTTTTTTTTTGTTTAACAAGCAAGGACTACACAATCAATTTAAACATATCCCTATAATAGGATACGAGTATTATACATATATAATGATTTTAATTGAAAAATCACAAAAAACAAACGAAGAAAAGTAAAAATTTAAGAATATTTTTTTATTTTACTTTAAGAACATTGAAGTTTTTTTTAGTTAAATCAATCAGTTTTGATTAGATGTTCAAGGTAGTAGCATTAATTATATAAAAAAATATTATTTAGCAAACAAAAAATTCACTATTTTTTAATTCTAATTTCATAAAAATATAATTGAACAATATTATACAATTATAATCATTAATATAATTAATAATTTCTAATTACATATAAAAATAAATTAATTAAAATGCAGCCTATTATATTGAAAAAATCTAGGATTAAAATCTAAAATTTTAATTATTCTTTTAAATATAAATGAAAAATTATATAACAATGAATTAATTTTAACCAGAAAAATTACAACAAAATGGCGTAATTAAATTTTCTTCCATTTTTTTTTATACGTTATATAAAAATCAAAAAGAAGAAATCAAAAACAAAAATTATTTACAATTCCAATACTAAAAAAAATAATTTCTAGAATTTATTAATTGTGATAATAAAAATACGAATTCATATAAAAATTTAAAATTACATAGGTAAAAATAAAATAAAAAAATCTAGAAAAAATTAAAATCGCATTTAAAATAACAAAATGGCGAAAATTATAACAACAATTAAAGCAATTTTAACTCGAATTATATTTAGTGCTCATAGTTTAATTGCAATATGGCAAGTAACACAAAATAAAAATGAACCAATTTGGTGGTGTTTATGCGGTCCAATTGGTTTATTAGCAATTGAAGGAGTTTTTACATTAGCTATAAAAAAGAATCAAGAATGGAGATGGTAAAAATATTTTCTCTTTTAATCAATATTTTATATTATTTTTTTTTTATTTATTTTTTTAAAATAATTTTGAAATTTGAAATTTAAAATTTTTCTAAGGGTTTCCGAAAAAATTAATTTTATTAATAAAAAATATATTGGGCTTCATTAACTTACATTTTGATATACGTTATTGCTCACCTCACTTGACGTCAGTGTTTCATATGCTCATTATAATATTTATTATAATTTTTAATTGAGAAGAACTTTTTCTTTTTCTTTTCAAAATTTCTAGAAAATTTAGACACCATATTGTATTCACTTTGTTTTTGAAAGATTGACAAATTCAGTCAATATTTTGAGATGAAATGACGCAATTTAGTTCAAAAAGTGATTAAAATTAGTTTAGTTCAGAAAAATGGGTGTGATACATAAATAAAATTAATCAGTAAAAACGGTGAGGTGCTGAAAGGCCGAAATACATAACGCGGTTGATAATTAATTTCATTTTTTTGAAAGAAATTAATTATTTTCTTAATTTTGTTTTATTTCATTTCATTTCTTCCCGAAATATTGCCGAATTTTTTTACAGGAAAAAAAAAACGTTCCCGATAAAAATGAGATTATTCCGGACTGAATAAAATAATATTGCATAATTTTCGGGGACTTATTATTATTTGTATAGTTTTGAGATTTTACGAAAAATTTTCTTAACCGAAAAAATATGTGTTTTGATTAAGTTGAAATTAGGTTAAGTTTCTATTCACATTTCCGAAGTCAACCGAATTACTTTATTAATAAAATTCTCTCAATTTGAAAGCATTCATTAAAATTTGCTAGCTTTCATTTTTATTTTTGAAATTTTCATTTTAATAATATTCAAATAAACACTTTAAAATTTAATTCAAAATATACAACAATTTAATTAAGACAAAAAATTATAATAAAAAAATTTACTAATTACAAATACGACAAATTTAATTTAAAAGAAATAGTATTACTTCAAATTCTGTTAGGTTTTGTCCATCAGTATTTCTTTATTTGGGGAGTGTTGTACCAGCAATATGGTTATTAGAATTAGATAAAGTTGAAAGACGTTTACGTAATGAAGAAGTTAAAAATATAGATATTCAAGCAAATTTTAAACAATTTGGTAATTTATTACCACCAAATTTAACAAAATTAGCTGTTGATGCTGAAACATGGACAACATTAATTGAACAATTTTTAATGTTAATATTAATTGTTGGACGTTGGTTATTACCAAAAGGTGATTTAACTAGAGATCAATTATCACAATTACTTCTAGTTTATATTGGTAAGTCAAAATATTATTAAAACAAGAAAAAAATTAATTTATTTTAAATAAAAAATTATTTATTATATTTTTATTTAAAGGGACCGCTGCTGATATAATAGAATTTTTTGATTCATACAAAGATAATGAAATTGCCAAAAAACAATTATTAGTATTTTTAACACTTGGTATATGGTCATGGAGTTTATTACAATTTACAATTGTATTATCAGCAACTAGATCAAGAAAACCAAGAGGTGGTGGATCTTTAGGTGCAGATGAGTATGTTCTAATTTATAAATTCCTATAAATATTTTTATAAAAATTCTGTGGTCCTGAAGAAAAACTGCTTAAGTTGTTGAAATTTGTTTTTGAAATAATTATGTTCGAGGTTTGGATTTTGTTCGAAAATAAGTCTTTATTGTATCTTTTTATTCATAACTTCAAACTTATAATCAAATTTTGACAATGTTTTATAGCATGTAACCACAGAATTATAACATAACTAGCAAGAGTAAACGAAATGAAAATAAAATTTAAAATTTTTTAATTTTTATTTTATTTTTTTCATATTAGACCAACTGATTGTTGCGGTGACTGTTGTTGTGGAATTGATGTTTGGGGTATTGCTTTAAATGTTATTTTACAAGATGCACCATTTTTAGCATTCCGTCTTCTAATTATTGTACATTATCGTTTAATTAATTATATGAATGTATTTTTTACATGTAAAAATTCATTGGTCATATTATTACAATTATATCGTCTATATGTTGTCTATTCAGAATATTGGAAAGCTAGAAGACAAAAAAATGCAATGAAACATGCTCCAAAATCTAAAAAAAAATATAATAATGAAAATTATGATGATTATCAAAATAATAAAGATATATATATGATAACATCCGGTGGTAAAGTTAATGATGGTGTTAAAAAAAAGAGTAGTAGTAATAAGAAAACTATTCGGGATGATAGTGATGATGAATTTGAACGTAAAGGAAAATCTAAGAAAGATAAGTTAGTTTATATTTACATAAAATGATAGAAAATATAAATTATAGAAATTAAATTGAGAAATTGCTAACTTTAAAAAAAACAAATAAATTAAAAATAGCTAATATAAGAACATTATCAACCGAACAATGAAATAATAATAGAATTTTGTTTTGTTCATCCCTGCTTTTTTTAATTTCTTAGATATAAAAAGCATAATCGTAAAGATACCGGTTATAGTACAGCAAGTTCACAAAATTTACATTCAATAAAATTAAAAGATGAAAAACAAAAACGTAAAAAAGATAAAAGATTAAAAAAATTGGATATTGCAAGCTCAAATTCGGATAGTGAAAGTGAACCCGTTGTTGTTGTTAAAAAGAAAGGAAAACAATCGAAAAAGGATGATGACAGGTACGGTAAAAATATTTTCAAATCAAATCCTAGCGCTAAAAGTTAATTAACTCAAAAAATTCAGTTTTTGAGTTTTTAAAGTCCATTGACTATTGCCATTCGTCTGTGAGCTGTTTAAAACATATTGTTAAAGTTTTTATTAAAATTTAAGTGTTTTGACACACTCATTGATTTAGATGTTTTTAAGAGCAATATTTCGCGCTTTCTTCAAAACCACAAATTTTTTGAGTTAAAATAATTTTTGTCGTAGGGCTGCAACATATTCAATTTTTCGAATATTCATAGTATGCATGTATACAGTGAAACTTCTCTAATAGAACCATCTCTCACAATAAATCCGAATTAAAAGAAAAAATACCTAAAATAATTGAAAAATTGTGTAAAAATTCAATTTGAGACAACTTTTAAATGAAATAAATATTGTAAAGTGCAAAAAAATATACACTAAGATTCAACCCAAAGTAAAGCTCAAGTTAAAGAAAGTTCTGTATTTATGCACTCATTAATACTTTTATTCTACTTTGAGCCACTTATTACTCTTGATTTTCATTAATGATATACATAATTTACTAACTTCCTTCACCATTTATTTCTGTTTTCTGACCATATTAGTCTGTTTTATCCGAGAAATAGTGTTGATATTATTAAATGTAATATGGAGCATAATTTGCTTATAATATTTTAGTTTTTTTTGGGAACAATAGTTTTAGTATTAACTCACTTTCACACTTAATTAAATTTAAAATGTGCTATGGTTTGATCCATTCTATTTTGTCATATGTTACAGCGGTGTGGTGATATAGTAGTTAACAGGCTACAAATCTTCTAAAACAAAATTTTAAGAAATACATGTGGTCTTCTTTACAGGTATAGCACACTCGTTTTATATTATTCCATTATATTATATTTTCTTATTTTGCCACTAAAGGGTATATACAATTTTCTGCAGCTTTTATTTTTATTTAAAGTGCTTAGTGAGTTGGATCCTTACAGTATTTCTTCTATCCAGCGATACTTCCATAATTTTTACACCAGATTTAGAAATAACGTCCAAATTCGTAGAGATAATAATACTCTGTCTTCTCAACGAGTTCCAGTTGCTTAATACACTAATGCCTATTTGGCAGAGGGAGCAATTGTATATTTATATTGTATTTATTGTTAATTGATAACTGAATTACTAAATAAGCAAACAGAAAAAAAAGCATTTTAACTAATTTTTAATACTAATCAATTTGAAATAATTTCTTGTAAACTTGATTATTTTAAATACAACTCTTAATATTTAATATTTATAAATTTCTAAACATTCCAAAACTGTATTCATGTGTACATTGAAAGTATAATATACAATTAAAATTTTTATAATTAAACCGTGCGTTCGTTTTTATCAAAATGATAGTGTTGTAACAGAAAAACCCAATAAACATTTTGGGCTCTATGGTAGCAATAATCAATTTTTAAAATCGATTTAGTTTAGAGATTGCAAAATTTCACTCCTACATTTTTAAGAACTCAATTAAGAAAAAATCACTTGATAATTTCGAGCGCATGCATATTCTTAAATGTATAGAATAAATTATGAATTTATTTACTATACAAAAATAAAATTATTAAATTATTCAATTTTTAATAATTTAAAAAAACAAATTAAGAAAAGCCGTAATATAATTGTATTAATATTAAAGTTTAACTGAATATTCATAATTCATTCTATACATTAAAATTTTTAAGAAATTAAACATTGATTGCAAAAAAATCTTTAAAAGAACTTGTTCGGTTTATATTTTTGTATAATTATATAATTAGACGATATACATCGAAAAAGGATAAACATTTTGATGCTGTTATGGAAGAATCCAATACAACAACAGAATCTTCATCATCTTTAAAATATGAAGTAATTAATGAAAAGAAAAAAAAGAAGAAGAAAAAAGTTTCATCGACGAGTAGCAGTTCTTCGTCTTCAAGCTCTTCTTAAAAAAAAACAATTATAAAAAATTTTATACAATTTGAATATTGTAAAGGGATTTTATAATTTACATAAATTTTTATAATATTAATCATTTTTATTCGTTGCATTCGATTTTTGTACGATCGATTCCGATTAGTGAAATAAAATGATTATTGTATTATACTGAACAACTCATATGTATACATACATACATATGTATGTATAAAAAAGGAACAGAGTTGTCAATATCTGACTTTTAGAGATAAATGCATATACAAATTATATACATTAATAGTGTATAAAAATTATGTATGCTGTTCTGGTTATTGCTTATGTAGAAAAAGTGGAAATGAATTTTGAGTGGTTGAATAATTGAGAGCATTAAGCTATTGAAATATCTTTTTTAATATCAATTTGAAATTGTACGAAAAAAAAATATTTTATAAAAAAATGTAATTTGCAATAATAAAAATATTATTGAAAAATTGAAATTTACGGCAGAATTTTTGGAAAAAAAAATTCTCTTTATTTGTAAATTTGAATCATGAATGTAAATTAACTACTAATATAAATGTCGTCATATTTAATAAAATAATACATTATATATATTGTAATAAATAAAAATATAGCTATTTTTAAAAAGAATTTAAATTTAAAATTATTTTTAAAATGTATTTATAATTTACAATATGCACTTACATAATGTGAAATTTGTTAAAAATGTCGCTTACATTTTCAGTTAAACGAAAGGTATATAATTTTTTACTAAAAATTTAAACTAATTCTTTGACAATTATTAATTATTATTGCTAATATTTTGAAAATTCATTCTATAATCTCGAACGCATGTATTGTTTTTAAATGTACACTCTAAATTGATATATTTCATAATGTATGTTCAGTCAAGGTAAATAATTATTTTAAAACAAATTTGAAAAGGAATTATCAATAAATATTGGGGCTGTTCACATATTACGACAACTAATTTTATTGTCTGTCAACTTAACAAAATATGATACACATACATGCACACATAACTACTTTCATGCTTGAAATACTTAAAAAGTAAATAGAAAATAATAAATTTAGTATAAATTACGACATAACGCATATTACATGACTTTTTAAAGCTTATTTTAAATTAAAAGTGACTATATTATATTATAAAAATTATAATTACATACAGTTATCCCCGACTAACAATTTTATATACATAAAATTTTAAAACAATTAAAAAATGCGTTTTCCCATTTAGGTGAAAAAAACTTAAATGTACTTTTGAAAAATTTTGTCAGCTTTTTGCAGCACTGAAAAGAGAGGCGCATTTAAGCATAGTGTATTATATGTATATCAGGTAATGACTCACTAATTTTAAATTATATTTTATATAATGCTATTATATCAATTTTAAAAAACATTTATTATTTGTATACTTGTCTAAATATTTAAAATTAATAAAAATTATATATTTATATTTGTACATAAATCATAAACCAATTATAATTATTAAAAAAATGTAGAATTCATAAAAAAATTAAAAATTATTATAATAATATTAAAATTAAATTAAATTTTATTTTCCAAAATTATATGTACTTATTCTAAAACTGAAAATTCTATATGTATGTATTAATATCATAAAAATTAAATTTTTTTAATAAAAATTTTTTATAGAAATTTTGAAAAATAATTTCGATTTTTGAAAAATTTATACAAAAACTAAAGCTTTGGGTAAGTATAAAAAAATGTGTATAAGAACTGAATTCAGGCAATTTTTTGACCGCACAGTTAAAATAATAATAAATAGCAAAAAAATTTATAATCTTCTGAGTATTATGAAAGAAGAGTCTCAAATTTGCAACATATTTTTTTTTTGGCGAGAGAGTAGAAAGGAAGAAACGGGAAAAATGGAAAACTATATTTTCTTGAATTTATAATTTTCTTGGTGTTTAACGAATTCGTGGGCACTTTATGAATTTTACAAATATTCCATGTTAATTAAAAATTAAGAAAACAAAAGAATTGTTTTAAATCATAATTGTAATGTTAAAACTGTAATGTGACGTAACACTTTTAACAGTTTTCAATTATGTACCATTATTAATTTTTTATAATTGTAACCAATAAACATTTTTTCAGTGACAGTAGAGAGTTCTTTGATTTATTCGTTTTCGTTTTGCAGTGTAATTGTGAATGGGAAATTCTCAAATTATGAATTAGACGTCACATAATTGACGTTCTTTTAATTGTTTTTTTTTTCATATTATCAGCTGATATTTTGTAAATAAATGTTCCTGTAAATTTGTTTTGTTTTTAAATTGTGTTATAAATTACAAAAAAAACAATTGCGTCCAAATATAAATAAATTCTTTTTTGAAAATAATAAAATATAATAGAACGGTGGATCTAATGGATCAAGATGACTATTGGAATACTTCTGCAACAAAAGCCTTTAGTTTTGATGAAAGTGATGACGTAAGCATGTTTTGTATGAATTAATAAAATAAATTAATTCCAAATAATTTATAGTTATTACCGCCTTCAACTTTTGGAAAGAGCCGCTTGATAGCCGATGATAATGTATCAGAAATCAGTACAGAAGAAAGTATTGCATCCCCTGAAGAATTTCAATTGAATCAGTTTATTTCTGACGAAAACTTAAAAATGTGTAAATATTTTAACATATTTCGAAACAAAATTCAAGATGTTGATTAAAATACCATTTTAGTAATTGAGGAACAATCCCTTAATCCTGAACCGTTAAAAAAAGGAATATCAAATGATGAAGAACTTCGTTATCTTAGGAGAAAAATTCAAGAAAGTATTCATCCACCGCCAGCTGAAATAACAGCGAAAAAATTATTATTTGGTAAAAAGTGTTCGTTAGAGCCATATAAAGCTTTAGAAGAAAAAGTTGCTTTGCTTGATGAAGTAATCGCAACGGGAAACGGTGGTGCCATTTTAGGAGTAAGTCTAAAATATATTTCTAAGACTTATAATTCATGTAGTATAAATTTTAGGTTGTTATTTTCTTGGAAAAAACCTTAAATAAAAAGCAGTTTAATAAAATTTTAATGACTCGTTCGGATGCTGCAAATCATTATTTAAATTATTTAGAATCTAAAATGAAAATTTATGAAGCTACAGATATATTGTCGTAAGTTGATTGAAATATAATTATAAATTAAATATATTAAGCTCTGACTTTTTTCAAATATAAAATCATAAAGAATGCTTGGGCGAGATTTGGATGCTGCTGTAAATATTGTCATCAAATTTTAAAAATTTTTGTCTTAAGATATTTTGTTTCAGATGTTACAATTTAAAATCGCTGTTAAAATGTATTCAGACCCTCAAATTCAGAGACAAAAATTAAAACGAGTTTATTGTGATTATTTTACACAACCTGGTACTAATCCTCATATAGCTCAATTCGTTAGTAATGCTATCAATCTCCTTGGTAATAAATATTATTAAGATGTCATGAAAAAATTATGTAAATCTGTTTTTAATGCAGAATGGCAACTTTTGGAAAAAACTAAAGGGACTCCGGAGTCTAGTGATTTGGTTGGTAAAACACCAGTAGAAACATTATATTATGCATGTTCAAAGCATAATTGGAAAGATTCTCATTCTAGCGATAGCACGAATCCTTTTAAATTTATAAATGATTTTAAAATTAGCCGTAGTTTATTTGAATGGACAGCATTAAATGAAAGAGGGAAATCTAAAGCTTATCCTGATTTAGAAAAAATCTTTGAAAAGAGTGTAAATATAATAATATTATAGTGAACTATTTCTTTCTTTTTTAAAAATTGTGGAAATTGCAAAAAATTTTATCTTTCAGAGTTGGACATCCTTGATAGCAAAACCTTTTCAAATTAATATTCCATTAGATTTAGCAATCATGAGATTAGCTGATCTTGAAGCTCCCTCACCAGTTTTACAAAAGTAACTCAAATTTAACCATTACTGTTTTAAGTACATAAAAATTTGTTTTTCAGTTTTTTAGCAAAAGTAAACGATTCAAATGATCGTTTAGAACTAGCACAAGCAATAAAATGTTCAAAGGGAATTATTGATGCTCTTGCTGCTCTAAAAGATAAAGAAGAACTACAGAAGTATATTAATTCTTTACCAGAAGGTTCCGAAGAACGTTTTTATGGCGAAAATACTTTAAAATCTGTTGTAAGTTTAACACAAAAAAGAAATTTTAATCTCAATATTAACTCAATTTTTCTTTTTAGGGAAAAAAATGGCCCATAGAAAGTTTACCATTAATGAAAAAATAATCAAAAGCCTAGGAAAATTTATTATCGATAAAAAAAATGCACAATCACTAAAATATAATTTTTGACCAACCTGCTCTCTATACGCTTATCTTCAACACAGATATTTTATTTTAAATTATTTGATGAAAGATAAAAATGTTAATAGATTTATATTTTTGTATTATGGCATTAAAACTATTTGTTAACATTGTTAAAAATGTAATTGTTCTTTATTTAGTTTTTTTCGTTTAAAGATCAATTTCATATTACTCTCGTATGATATAGTATATCTTAACATTCGAAATTCATATATCAAACAACTCATATATCAAACAGATATCAAACATATCATACTCATAACTCATAATTCATATATCAAACAGATGATCATAAATACTTTTCTTGCATAATTCTTTTTTCAATATTACTACAAACCAACAACACTTTAAGAATTTTATGTAAAATTATGGTCATTTTATTAAAATAAAAATTGCATATTTACTTCCTTTTTAAACCTTAAACTTTAAAAATTAATAAAATAAACCACTGGTTTTATAAATACATACACATAATATATTTATAAATTTTTTATGTAAAAAAATATATTAAAACAAATTTTGTTTATTTATCATTAATTTTTCACATTTAAAAAAAAACTCATTTGATACAATATAATTATTATAAAATTGTATTAAAATCCAGTCATTCTATTTTTATGTGGCGTTACTTAAAATAATAAAAAAAAATCTATGTACAATGTGCACTACTATTGTTATAAAAAGAAACAAAAATATAATTTGAAGAAAGTAGATGAAATTAGCATATAAATAATTAGTATTTAAAGATTTTAAAATTAATTTCTTTAGTGCATAAACTCATTTTTTGCAAAATAATACATACTATTTATTAACATGACAGAATATCATTATAGCTTTTGTAATTTACTTTCCTAGTTAAAAAAAAAACATTTACATTTTATTATTTGCAATTAATCGACGTTTTTGACAAAATAAATTTTGAATTAATTTTCTTAAATATGGCGAATATATGTGCATATTTGTAAAGTTCTAATTTTTTTTTATTTTTAAGATAAACCCTGCCTAATCCTGATTTGAAAACTTTCTCATGTTAATTTTAAATATAAATCACTTTAAGAAAACCAAATGATATTAAGCAAGAAGTTAAGTCATTGAAACTTGAATTTATATGAAACTATAAAAATATACAAAATATTTGCAAATTAAACAATATTATCTTAAAAATTAGATCGTAAAATAATTTTAGGATTTTATGAACATGTAATATTTTTAACGCTTACTACATACACAAATATATTATTTTTTTTTTTCATTTTTTAATAATTATTCATACTAAAATTTATTAAGTCTTCATCGTTTGGTTTTTTTTTTTTCTTTCATTCAATATTTTGGATCACATATACATATATATATACATATGTGCATATATATGTATGTCAACAATTTGGATGCTTTTTTTTCTGTTTCTCTTCAAACAAAGCCAAATATTTTATCATCAATATATTGGAGAATCACTAAATATGTAATTCGTCATCTTTAGTTATTCTTGTACTATACTTCCCAAAGACTGTCCAACAAGTATTTTTTGGCCAGATTGAAGATTAAATTTAAAATTGTTTGGTGCTTCAAAAATTAAAACTATTGTGCTTCCCATATTAAATTGTCCAACAATATCACCTTTATTCAATTTTATCGCATTCAATATTTTAATTTCATCATAAGTTTTCGTTTTTAAATGTCCTGGCTTTATTCCTAAATACTTATTTGTTTTTAAATCTTCATCAAAATAGATTTGTACAGAACCGACATTTGTTGCACCTATTTTTGTTAAAAAATAAATTTTAATATACATATATATATATAGTCATTATTTAATTATTGAGATAAAACTTACCAACAGCTGTAAAACTAAAGAAACCATATTTCCATTTTCCTATATATGTAGCACGTTCATTTAAACAAAATAAACCAGGTAACCATTGTGCTATTTTCGGATTCACCGATAATAGTTCACCATGAAAATGTCTTCGTAAAGTTGGCTCCCATTCTGTTGGTGAATGAAATCTATGATAATCTCCTGGGGCTAAATAAATTACGCATTGATATAAGGAAGTTTTCTGTAATAAAAAATATGAATTTTGTAACAATTAAATCACATTTAATTAACTAAATTTTAATTTAAATATAAATGTAAATTAAATTACATACATCTGATTTATCATGTTTAATATTTGTCAAATATGAATTAGTATCAGTACCATTTTCCATCCAATTATCTGGACCTAAAAAGGATTCAATTCTATAAGTAACGCCTTTTACCTACAAATAAAATTTAATAACCATAAATAATATTTCTTCTAAAAATTTATATTAATATTTTCATTATACTTGTTCTATTTGTGAATTCGATGCCGAACCAAAATGCAAAACTCTTCCATCAGCAGGAGAAACTAAATTTGATTGGCTATCAATTACTCTAACACCTTCTTTTAATGATCTTGTAAAGAACTGGGATAAACTTCGATAATCCCTATATATTTGTTTTATTAAATTATGAAAAATAAAAAAGTATTAAATAAGGATAATATGAGATTTTGAGGGAAAGGAAATAAAAATTTCAACCGTAATAAGAAGTAAATTATTTCTGTTTAAAAATTTTTATAGCTTAATTGCACAGTGCTCTTTTTTTTCTACCATTGATATTTTGTGTAGTTATTAATTTTCTAAAATTAATATTTTTATAAAATAAATTTATATCTCTACCAAAACATGCATAAATAATTTAAATTAAAATCTACAATTCGCTAAATTTTTCTTTGGAAACAGTATTTTTAGTGGTTTTTTGAGAAAATAAATTTGATTGAGTTTTAATAATTTAAATTAAAAAAAAATAAATATATACAAGCGTAATAATAACATAATAATAATTAAATATTATTGCATGCAATATTAATTATTATTATTTGATATTTTTTTCAAATTTAATAAAATAAAAATAATACTGTGATATATAAAATAAATTCTTTAACTAATACAATAATTTTAAATATTTATAATTTTTACAATTTTGAATCCAAGTCCTGTATTCTACAATTTTTATTTTAATTTTGATTCTAAAATAGGATAATAGTAGTAGTTAAATCCATTGTTTTTTGTTACATCAGATGCATTATTTAAACCTAAATAATAGCTAAAAATTTTATATTAGAGATTTAAAACGTAAAATACAAATTTTTAATATTTGACTTTAGATAGTAAAAATCATAATTTTTTTTATATTACACAAAAATTTCCGATTCAACCAGAATTAAAATTTTCTACACATTGAATAAATTTTACAAAATATTACAAAAGTTTAGAATAAAACTAATTTTTATGACGAATTTTCTAATAAATTTTAAACAAATCAAAATTATGATTTTAAACTATAAAAAATGAAATTTAACACAATTATTTACTGCAAATGACAATGGTAAATGGAATACATAATTCTTGGTTATTAAAAATAAATTATGAGTTAAGTTATCATAAATTTCTTAGAAAACTATTTACATATCAATTTAGTTTCCTATAAAATTTTTTGTTATAGATGAATTAATACAAAAAATAAAAACAAAGAGCTAAAACTACATATAATAATTATAACGTCCACATGAAGTAAAGTGAAAATGTTTAAGTTTTAAATAATAAACATATATTCAACTTAAAGTAAAATGCAATTTTAAAATGATTCAATGCTGAAATTTTTATAACTAAAAATTCAAATAGTTAGAAAATTAAATGTTAAAAATATTAAATAAACATGCAACATTCTATTATACAATTAAAGTAAATTTTTAAGTTATTACATACTTCAATTCTGGATTTTCTGCCTCTTCAATTTGCACATCAAATTTTTTTGAATATAATCCATATACATAAGGTCGCAGCGAAACTGGAACATTACGATCTGCTAACCAACCCCAGCAACGGCTTACCATTCTTAGAGGGAGGGAACAATAAACATTCGCCTTAAATAATAAAATATAAATAATAAATGTTTTATTAATAATTTACTAGAAATATTTCCATTTGGATTTTTATTATTTTTAACGAGAAATATAAAGCAATTTTAAATCAAAACAAATTAATAAAATATTTAAATATAATTTATATCAGAAGAAATAAAACGTAAATTCCTTTTTTTAATAATCTTTGCCCCACCGACGACACCATAAGATTTTAATAGTCATTTTAGATTTATTTTACCATTCCATATAATCAGAATTTTTTTACATTTCTATTTTAAAAATGAATTTATTGCCATTTTTAAATTCAATAATGTCCTGTTTTAATTATAATTCTTTTATTCTGTTCATTGTAACTTTAAAATTTTAAAATATATAGTCGTGTGTCTCATATAGATTTATCTTATATATATTAGCATATTATTATTCATATATAGTCATTACCCCGTTTCTATGTGGAAGTGCATTATCAATTTTTTTTTTCAGCTCTTTTTGACTAATTAATTGTAAAGGTCAATTGAAATCTATAGCAATTGTATTGCATATACAAATAAACAGATTGATAATTATTGTATTTACAAGAAAGTAAAAAAAAAAATATGAATTTAATGTGAAAAATTACAGATAATTAACGTAAAAATCATTATTCATTCATATATTTGCACAAATAATTTATATGTAAACTTACTTGAAATGGTGATGCTATATAAGGTAGCCCCTCTTTTTTAAGTCGTTGATTGTGGAAATGCCATTCTAAAACTGCAAATAATGTAACACCGATCGGGGTCCATCGCATCAGAAGACCGGACCATGTAAACCAGCCACCTGTAGCCAATAACCACCAATCGAGTATTGATAGTATAGTCCAACCACCAGCACCAGCTGTCCAACTCCATTTTGAATGGAGTCTTTTTAATTTACTAAATTTACCTTTTTTTCCGGATGTTGATGATGTAGTAGTACCGGTATTTGCACCAGATGAATTTGAAAGATGTCCTTGATTTCCATTTGGTAGACCTCCTTGATTTGATGAACTAAATGAACGTGTTACATTTGCTTGAACTGATATCGTACTATCCAAACTATTTTTATTAGAATTTCCTAATAAGGTTTTGCGAAACGTCCACTTAATTGACCATTTACTTTGACATTGTGGTTTTTTTAATTGAGAAGCTTTCGTTAAACTAAAAACAAAAACATACAATTAAAATGAAAGTCTAACAATTTTCTTTTATGTATATATGTATGTATATTATACAAACAGGTCTTCTGTAAGCTAAAAAAAAAGCGTTAGAGATATTGCAACTACTACCTCCGTAATCTAAACTTACTTTATCATTATTTGAATTATACTTATGTATATATATTTTATAAAATTATGTAACATTTTTTAAATGAATGAAACATAAACAAAATAAATACATAGAACGTTTATAAGTCTACTAGAAAAAAAAATGATCAAATTTCAAAAATTATTATTCATTTAAAATAAGATTTGATTTTTCATACTGTTATATACCCTCCTATTTTATATAAAACAATGTTTTGAATGACCAGAACAAAAAGTTAAAGAACTCTTGTAACCTTAAATTTTTGTTTTATTTAAATAGGTAGGCAGCTAGCTTTTAAAAAGAAAAAAAGTATAAAGAAAAATGTTTATTTTGATAATGAACTCATATAAATTTAATTTTAAGATTTTCTTTTTCAAATTAAGAGCAATAAATAACATTAAGAGTTTCAACAATTTTGCTTTCACGGTCATTTGCAAAGTGCATATTAAATTATACCTCCTGAGTAGACCTTAAAATTACAAATCAAAGAATTAAATTTATTAAATATAAATTTCTAGAAAATTCGAGTTTTAAAAATAGATGTTATTTTATTTTGCACTAAATCCTATAACTGAATTTCCCGCCGATTTTCTATCATAAGTGAGGTCATTAATTTTGATGATAACAAATCAATTCTATTTAATGTAAAAGTTTAAATAAATTTCACCAAATTTAGCAGTGAATCTGTGAAAAAAAACATATTATGTTTATATGTGTACTTTATAGAATTTATTCAAATTATAAATTTTTAGAAAAACATTAATTTTTAATCAATTTTATGAGTCATTTTTGCTTCATCTACAACGCATCACATAATAACAAACCTATTTACAAAATAATATTAAAAGTATGTAATCTCAAAATTTAAGAACAAAGAACAGGAAGCTGATCCCAAATAAGCACAATTTGACTTTAAATCCCTTTACCCTGCAATAGTAAAATAAATATTTTCTAATTTTTTTTTTTTACTTACAACTGAGATTTTTGAAGAATATAAAATGACATCTTATTTTAACTATGTATATTCTATTTAATATACTAATTTATCGTCGGGATTTTAATTAATTTCTTTCCGTATTAATTTTAGTCTATTCCAATTAAACCTGTTTTAAAAACTGAAATAGAATTATTAATTAAAAGCTGAAATATAAAGAAGAACGTAAATAAATTTTCAACCAACACCAATATAAAATACTAAACAAAAGAAAATTACTAAAAACAGCTGTCTGATGAAAGAGATAAAAAAACAAAACATGAAATTGACAATTATTGTACTAAATATGTATGTCAAAAACTGCTGTTTTTTTTCCTCTTCATTCAAAATATTGTACGTGGCTGAATGTCATTTGTGAATTGTGAATTGTGAACAATAAACAATTTCCTTATTCCCAATGCGACATTTTCATTGAGTGACAAAAAAGAAAAATAAAAAACATAGAGACATCTAGTGAAGTTTAAAGTAATTAAAAAGGTTCAATTAAAATACACAGTTAATAAAATAACGAATGTGTTTTTTAAAATTTTATTTCGGAACAGAAAGGTTTTAGTATAATTCTTTTTATTAAGTTTTAATGCAAATATTTGATCAAATGGCGAGTGGTCGCAGTCAAATTAAATGTTTGTACGCAACCTTCATTCTCAATAAAAAATATTGAAACAAAATATACACTACTTTACGGAGCACAAACACAGTAATATCAAAACTTGGAAAATATTGACAAGGTGTGAAGAGATTTGAGAAAATATAATTCAATTCATAGCGGATATTATTTATTCCTTTTTTTTATTCTTTGTTTCCTGTTCATTTCACAAAACATAAAAATATTGCTGAAATCAAGAAAAATAATAATGATCTAAATAATTGTTTAATTTTTTGCAAATATATATTTGCATATATAGTTGTGCGAACATAATAATTTTAAAATCAATGAATTCTTTAAAGTAAGTAAAGGCCAAATAAAATATTATTGACTATCATAATAATTTTCTCTTTCATTTTTCATACTGATAAATAGATGTTGAAGTTATGTTAGACAAATTTGCACGTAACGTCATCCAGCTGTAAAAACTATTGGTAAACGGAATATTAACTATAAAAATATAAAAAAAAATTTCAATTGCATTGAAAATAATGATAGCTTAATAAATACCATATTAAGTATACACACGTGAAATTGTAAAATAGAAACGATAATCTTCCGTTTTTATATTGATTAACTATAATATTTTTAAATCTTAAACGGAAATATCTGCATGCATATATAAGATACGAGTATATTGATTTTATTTCATTAATATTTGCATATAGTTAGCATATAATTATATTCATATACCGTGTCGTATAACGTATTCATACACCGTATCGTATAACGTATAAATATAAGAATTTCATTTTATGTCAAAATTTATTTTTTATACAAGTCTTCATTATATAAAAAAAAAAAACCAATAATAATTTATTTTGTCCAAAAATAGATAGAATCAACTAAGATGAATTAAGGCATTCCCAGAATAGAAATTTTATACATGTACGCACATTAAGAATACATATATTAAATGAATTTATTAATTGATTTGAGTCAGAGGTTAAATCAAAAAATATTGTCCAATATTATTCGAAACATTACAAATTTTAATTTTGTTTATTTTTTTCTTTAAATTTACATAGTCTCGTTTATGTATACATATACATTATATATAGTTGACATTTAATATGATGTATATATTTGTATATAATTTTAAGAAGAGAAAATAATTTTAAAACATATTCAGAAATTGGAATTTAATTAATTTGACTTATTATTATTTTTTTTTTTAGCTATTCTTCAACTTTGCAATTAATAATTGGGTTCCACAAATAGTTTCTTATTTATATCATTCTTTAAAAATTAAATATTTTTAATTATCATCTTTTTATATTTAATAGTTCAATCAAATAATCGGATTTTTTTGCGACTATCATAATGTTGTTTTTGTAAACTACAACAATTGACGTAACTAAGTCAATATTGTGTTAATTGTTAAAAATTTCCTTATAGTGAAACGAGAAAACACACTTTTATTGACAACTGTAACAAATCACGTTTGAAATGTCAAAAATGTTTGCTTTTTCGAAAAATCAAACAGCAATAAAATCTCCTTAATTCAGACCCATATTGACATTTTGCAATAAGTCACAGCATTTTTGCTATAGTATACACCACTAAAATTTTTGTTTACCAAAATTATGTTCGGAAACTAAAATCTTGAATTCTTATCAATATATATTTTCAATTTATTTCATTTTATAATTTTTTTTTTGCATCCCAACTACTACAATCACTCATGTGATAAGTACGAATAATATTTATTTGTATGTATTTATTTTAACGGAATATAATAATATTCAGAATATATTCTTTCAAGTCGTCACTGGACCAATTACTAAAATGAAATTTCAAAAAAAAAATTCAATTTAAATAAAATGATATCAGAATCAGTTTGTCTAGAGAACGCGTTTGAATAAGACTTATTTAAATCTTTAATAATTATTTGAAAAACAGAGAAATATAATATTGAATTTTTAATCAATTAATACATACATAAAAGTTAAAATATATACTTTCTCTCGATGATAATACTTAAAATTAATTAATAATTATTCTAAGTTTATTAACGTATAACAATAAATTAAAAAAAAAAATATTATTTTGTGATTTTTAGTTTCTGATTAATTTTAAGATAAAAAGTTAAAAAAAATTTTTTAAGTATATCTAAAAAAATAGTAAAACTTTTACAATGCGTTTCACACAGTACTTACTAGTTACGTGTACGTAAATTATATCTTAATAAATTTAAATAATTATATTATATCTATGTATAGTAATAATAATTATACTCGTATTTATTTACTATACATAATATATGTATTTATTAATTACGATAAATTAAATTTTCCGATAATGCGCCATTTTGCACTATTCATATTGTAAATGTAATATATATTTTAATTCACAATTAATATGATTTATCAGATCAATTGACATTTCTTATTTTATACTATCTAGCATCGCTATCATATTAATATAAAGGCAAAAGGGATATTATAACAATGATAATAATACATAAATATAAAAATATAATAATAAGAATAGCAACAATAAGTAAAATTAAAATGATTAATTTTCAATTCTTTTTAAAAGTTCATTACGTCATAGTTTTAGATAGAAAATCACAATTAATTAAATAGTGATAATTTTTTTATGACCTCTGAGTGTTTTATCAATTTTTTTATTTATTTTTTGTTTTTGGTTTTTTTTTTCTTTTTTGTTACGCTTATTTTATTAATAAAAATATAAATCATATTTCAATAAAAAAGCGAAAAAAAAAATTAAGAATGAAAATTAATGTTATCATCAATAAATTAATTTAAAATATTCATATAAATTATACACACAATTATTAATATTTTACAAAAAAAAATTTTTTTGGCTTTTTGTGACATTGAAAACATCAAATTGAAGGGATGTGCATTCTATTATTAAAATTCCAACATAATAATTATCAAATTTAGTGAAAAAATAGTTTTATAACCATATTATTAAAATTATTCATCTTTAGCTACATAGGACATGGATTTCATTAATTATTTAATTATACAATAGAATTTTTCAATTACATCAATTTTCGATATATTAAATTCAGTTAAAAAATATTTCCAAATATAAAATTAAATAATTAAATTTTATTATATTAATATTAATTTATTCATGAAATTTCATATTTCTATGATTTTAAAATATTAAATTAAAAAAGCGTAGATAAGATTATAAAATATTGTGAATTAGAAAAAAACTATTTTGAATTAAGATTTTTAGTATTCACATATTATAATGTCATAAATTTTTTCACCGAAAATTATTCAAGTGAATTGTTTATCAATTTTTTTGTTTTTATATTTTTATGTTTTGCAATATTTTTATAATAAATTTTATTAATAGGTATAACGTTATTAATTGATAATTGCATTGGTTTTAAATATATTGGATCTAAACAATTATTATATGAATATATTGGAAAAGTATCTGTTGGTGCTAAACCACCACAGGATTTAAATGAAAAATCATCTTTACCACCACCAACAACCGGTTGGACTGTAAAAGGAAGATTAACATTACAAAAACAAAGTGAAAATACTTTAGCAGCTGCAGTAAGTTCAAAATTTCTTTACATATATGTAGATACATATATATAAATAAATGTATATAATATAGGGAAAGTATTAACCTGTTAAACATATAATGCATGAATATTTCAGATTTTTGTTAAATATTTTTTTAATGTGGATAACTACATGTCAACCTGTTCGGCACTAAGAGTCCTGTTGCATTTGAGTATTTATATTATATTAACCGAAAACTAACTAATATAATTCAGAAGTTTTTTAATAAAATTACCGGAATTTCCACTAATTTTTGAAATAATTTCAGATAATTCTCAAATTTTAAAAACTTATTTAAATATCCATAAATATTTTATTTTCTAATTTGAAATGTCGTTTAATAAGTAAAAGAAAATATTGCATTTCTTTGATATTTTATATTCCACTAATAGTCTTATATATTGTCAATTAATTTAACTTGAATCAAATGTTAACAATTCAATTAATGATATTTAAATATTTTTATAGCTGAATAAAAACATCCATAAGTAACATACACACACATATGTAATATATATTGTGTGTGATCGACACTAAATATAATATTATGGAAAACAAATGAATGTTCGCCTTAAGTAGTGACACATTGAAAAGCTCGCTAAAATTTTAAAAGCATAATTGCAAACACCGTCTATTCACAAATCTATATGTATATACATAATTAACAGCATTCAATTTCACCAATTTCATTTTTATTATAATTTTTCCATCAAGAATGTTAACCTTCTGTTAAAATTTTCAAAGGATCGTTGAACTTTTAAACTTGATTTCAATTATGTCTACTATAAAGTAACAAGAAAGTACACATATAGTAAATAAAGAAGAAGAAGACAATAAATGTATGTAGAAATAATCGTATGTGTATACTTTGATACATATATACAAACAATAATAAATAAAATAAAAGTGATATTTTCACTCATTTTCGTCACTAAAACAATTCTATTTATTTTTAGCGATGATCAATGATTTTTGATATTTCATACATACATAGTAGAAAGAAAAATAAAAAGAAAAAATCTTTTCTGATAAGGACAATATTAGAATATTCGAAATATAAATGACAATTTAAATGGTATTTATGTGTGCCTTTGTACCGCATGTGTGCGCCTTGATAACAGAGTGATAGTCGCATAGTTTTTTTTTTTGTGTTTTAAGTGTGAATTTGCGGGTGTTATCAAAATATTCCTATATAATTTCGATTTCAATTTTTTAATAACACTTATCTATTAATAGAGCTTATACATATTATGAATTAAAAATTTCCTATACTTACACTTATATATGAATGTATGGAATGTAAAGCCTGGTTAGCAAAGTAAGAGCCACGATCGTCTACATAAATCATATTTGCGGATATTTTAAAATTTTATTAAAAAATTATGAAAGATTAAGGTCCGTGCCAATTATCTCTTTTAAAATTTTTTTCTATCATTTTTTTTTGTATCATACGCTTTCTGTTCCCCCTTGTCTATGTTAATCTAATTCACTCATGTGATTTGTTAATAAATTAAAGTTTTTCAGTAATGAGCCATGGAAATTTTTTTGGACTAGCATTATGGCAAGATTTTTTTTCGGTTGAGTCGGTTTTATGGTTACATTTATTTATTTTTTTTTCTATTTATTTGTCTATTTATATTTTAGCAGTATGTAATTATGTAATACAACATTATTGTTATTAATCATTTATATACAATAGTATTAAAAATTTATGAAGACAGAATTTGAGAGTTCTTACATAAATTTGATAATGTTTTGAAACGGAAAATCTTTACTAGAAACTTATTTTAGGTAGAACAAAATTTTTACCTATCTCCCCCCCTCTAGAAGTTATACCCCCCCAAAACCCTAAAAATGGCCTTTTTTAACTATTTGTTGCAATGAAACCATAAGCATTTTTGAAATTTTGCAAACGCATAAAGACAGCAGCTTGCTTCCCGTGACGCGTTATACTATAGTTAAACTTAAGAAAAACAAAATGGTCGTCCAAATTTACCGTTATGTAAAGTCTTTTTTTTTCATATTTTTGATTTTGTTTTTCTTCTAGACCCCAGCCTGTAGAAGCTTGAAATTTTAGGGGATTTCCGAAATTTCAAGCTTCTATATTTCCGAAACCGCAAGTTTTTTCAAATGTCTATAAACGCAAAAAGTTAACGGTAAATTCCATGACATTAAAAAATATAATTATTTTTCTTAACTCACACATTTAAACCTTAAAATCGAGCATTATGTTAACCCCTCTTTATATTAATTTTTGCTCTATTTCAAATACTGCATATATGCATCATCCTAAATATATGCAATCCTAGAAGTAGCTTTGTGTATGAATGAAAATAATTTTAATAGTGTGATAGCTGGTATACATAGACTGTATTTAAAAGCAGAATTTTCACTTGTTGAAGGGAAAAGTGCTACAATACAAACCATTGGTTTGACCCAACTTTATTATATTCATGATTCCGGTTGCAAATAAGAAGAAAAACAGAAAACTGCAAGATGATAACTTTCATTTTTCTTAGTTGCGTGAATTATTATAAACACATATGTACAATGTGTTTACTTTGCAGGCATACATATGTATGAAGAAATATATACATATACTCGAACGAGTATAGTATGTAGTTTTCAAATTATCGGCAAAATATAAGAATGCATTTATTCATCCAAAACTATATAGCGTTTACTAAATCGTAATCTGTAAATATTAAAAAGAAAAAATATAAATTGAATTATCTTTAATTATTTTTCTTGTTTTACAATTTAATTGATAATGATATTATAATTATTATAAATTTACACGTTCTGATTTTCACATGAAAATATTTTAATCAGTCAGCTGTTTTTCTTTTAAGAAATTGTGATTTTATTAATTTTTGTACTAGTTACTTAGATCATTTCTATAAATATTGCAATATTTAATTACCAATGTTTATCAATACCTACTTATACATACGTATTTATTATAATAAACAAACGTTTTAAAGCGAAATATATTACAGTACTGTAAAAAAATTTAAAATCAACCTTATTCTAATAGATACGCGCACATAAAAATGTGTGTGGTGACAGATTTTTTATTCTGCTAGACGCGCGTCTTACTATTTGTCACAAAAAGCGTCCGAAATATTATTCTACAAGACGTAATTTTGATTTTATTTTATTTTATATTTAGCTTGCTATCGAGGAAGTCACAATAGATAATACAGGAGAAAAATTTCATCAAAATAAAGAAATGCATCCACCATATAAACCATTCAAAATAGTCATCGATGGTACAACAAATAAAATATCACATTTAATATTCAAAGAATCTGATCCAATATGGTCTACAAATTTTAAAAGAGCTATTGCATCAACATTACAATTACAATTAAATAATGGTGGATCATCAGCTTTTTCAATCGATGAAGTAAGAAAAATAAAAAACCTATATGATTTTATTATTAATTATTAAATTTTATAAAATTTTTTATAACTTTTAAATGTAAAAATTTTTTTTAGAAAGGTATTCACGGCAAATGTCCTACAGAATATTATATAACAGATAGAAAAGATCATCTTGTTGTTCGAAAAACACCAGAATTAAAAGCTTGTTCTCCATTTTATGAAGGAATTCATTTACGAAGGAGTAATGTACCAGCTAATTCATGTGAATTTGATTTTCAAAAGAATGTTATAATTGGAAATGATGCTGTTTTTGAATTATATCCACATTCAGAACATGAATATTTAATGAAAACAGCTAGTGTTAAAGGAATCACATTAATTCATACATTTGAATCAACTGGAGAAGCACAATATGTTGATTCAGAGTAAGTTATATTTTAGTCTAAAAATAAAAATTCCAACTCACAATTTGTATGGTCCAACTTTTGATATGTTGAAAAACCTAATAATGTGTTGCTATTTTTAAAAGTATTATTTTTAAAATAATTAATTTTAATTTTGTGTTTATTTCCAGACTTAAATTAAATTTTCTGAATGAAACTGATTTTGATATACCAATTGATATTGAAACTGGTATGTCGGAAATGGAAAGTAATTTACAATTATTAGCTTTAGATGTAAATGATCCAACAGCTGGTCGATTCCAACCAAAACAAGAAGATTTAATTAGAAATGCTTCATCATATTTAAATAAATTAGCTGAAAATTTAGAAACAATTGATTTAAAATTTGATGAACCATATGATAGCATAGTTTCAGATATTATAAAAGTATTATCTCATTTAGATTACACATCATTACAAACTTTATATAATGAACTTGATATTGGTACATCATATAGGCAAGAAACGATCCGAAATATATTTTATGAAATTTTACCAAGAGTTGGAACAAAATCATCAGTTCTTTTAACAAGAGATTTAATAATGGTCAAACAATTAAAAGCAGCAACAGCTGTTCAATTATTAATTTCATTCCCATTTCATATTTATGATTTATCTGTTGATTTAGTTAGAGAATGTGAAGCATTTTTATCGTTAGGTAAGTACTTTAATTAATATATGCATATGTGCAGAATTCCTATAATAATTATCCTTAATTTAAATTAATTACTTTTTACTTACATAATTATATTTTTAGGACCAGATCGTCCTGATGTTCGTCAGGCTGCTATATTAAGTTATGCAACATTAATTTATAATGTATTTGTAGCGAAAAAGATGACCAATGACGAATTTGAAGAATATGTCCAAAAATATTTTAATTTTTACTTAAGTAAAAATAATTTTTTTCATTTTTAATTAAACATTTTTCAAAATAAATATTTTTACAGATGGCCATGATTATGAACAGAAAATGCTATATCTTCAAGGTCTTGGTAATTTACAACTTGGAAACGTTGCAAATTATTTAGATCCTATAATTAAAGATCCAAAAGAGAATTCTGATCTAAAATTTTTAGCAGCTTGGACAACAATGCCTTTAGCTTATACTAGATCAGATAAAGTAAATGTAAGAAATAGTATAAAAAAATCATTAAAAGACAAAATTTCTATTTTAGATTTATGAAATTTACTGGCCAATTTTTGAATCAAATAAAGCAACATTAGAATTAAGAGTAGCTGCTTTAACTTTATTAATAGTATCTAAACCAACTCCAGCACGTTTAATTAGCATACACAGAATAATAAAAGATGAAACAGATCCACATTTAATAAATTATTATAGAACAACTATTAAAAGTATATCGGAAACAACATATCCGTGCTATCAACCTTTGTAAACAACATTCATTTAAATTTAATTAAAAACATTTTTTTTCATAATGTTAACAATAAAATTTAACATATTTTAGACGTCGTCTTCTATCATATATGCATCGTCATTTACCACCAGCTCCAGCATCACGTTATTGGGTTACTGGAAATTATATATTTGATTATCGTGATTCAAAATTTGGTATCGGTGCTATGTTACAAGCATTTTTAGTTGGTGATCCTATATCAGATTTACCAGTTGTTGCATATTTCAAATTTGATACTGAAGCTTTAGGAAAATTTACTGGACAATTAGCACTTTATATAAAAGCAAGAGGTTTATCAGATGCATTTTTAAATCGTTTTCGTAAATTAGATTTGGAAAAGATTAAATTAATAAATTTAGTGGAAATTTTTGAAAAAATGAATATACCAAAAATTAATTCAACACCATTACATTTAGAATTTATAATACAAATCGAAGGGAAAACAGTTTTATCATATTATTTAAATCAGAAAACTTTTGTTAATTTAAGTTATGGAGATTGTAAGTTTATTTATGTATTTATTTTTGAAATATAAATAATATATTATTTGTTTAATAAGATTATATTTTATAATGAGAAATTTTTAATTTAAGTGATTAGCAGATTAAATATTTTATTTTTGGCTGATAGTCATATAAATATGCAAACTGTACGGTGGCCATTTATGACTAAATTTGCTGTTCCTACTGTTCTAGGTAATTTTATTAAAATTTTATTTAAAATTTTGTTTATAGAACTAAAACTAATTTAGAAATACTTAATTTTATTGAATTATAGGAACTCCTGGCGACGTATTAATTCAAAAAACAGTATTAACATCTCTTCGTGGCAATATTAGTCAAATAACAACAACAGATTCAATAACAAGATCTCATGAAATTGATGCCAGGTTATTAAATATTACATAGTTTCTTTTATTTTCATTTTATATATTTATATAATTTTTTTTTTTTTTGTTAATTTTACAGATATAATTCATATGCATCTTGTAAATCACGTAGTTATAATCCATTTTTAAATTTAGATCATGAAATTAATCGTGAACAGGGTATTTTAGTTTATTTTCCAGTTAATAATGAAATAACAATTAATATTACTGATTTATGCTTAAAATTTTCATTTTCAAGACCACCAAATTCAGTTAGTGGTCTAACATTTAAATCACGTTCTGTAACAATAACAAAAGGTATTATTACAAATAATAAACAATTTAAAGAATTAATATTACAACCAAGAAAACAAAATACAGTAAGTTAAATTATAATTTATTTCAAATATTTTATTTCAATTATATTTAATGTATAATTAATTTTTTTTTAATTTTAGTTAAATCTACTTGAATATGATATAAAGGATTTAGGAATTTCAATATCAGTAAATACAAATGTTGAAGATCTTAATAGTTATAGAACAATGTTTTTGAAATTGGATTTTACTGAAAAGTAAAAATTTTCATCTTATTTGAATTAACATTTTATATTTCTTTTTATTTTGTGTTTCAGTGGATTTACAAAAAATATTTTAATTAATGGTGTCATGTATTTATTTTCAATTGCACAATTAAGTTCAATACATATAGGATACGATAGAAATTTTACAATGCTATTGCGTAATAATGAAATGACCAGGGTAAAACCAGAAAATATCTTTTTTTAATAATTACAATAATATTACTAAATTTTTTTAGATAAATGGTTCTATTTGTACGAAGGAATATCATAAGACTGGTGGAGAAAATGTATTTGAAATAGTATTTGGTCTTTCACATTTAAATGATAAATCAGAAAAAATACTTCATGATTGGAATTTCATTATTAAATATTTGGAATCATCTAAAACACAGTGGTATAAAACAACAGGAATAATAACAAGAAGTTCACATGATTCAGAAAATTATAAGGTAAGAAATCAAACAAAAAACATAAAAAGAATTTCTGAAAAAAATTGTTTTTTCGAAATTTGAATTATATTTGAGTCGAATCTTATTATATGCAATATTCTTCTGAAATAATTACGTAAATGGTAAATTTTATATAGAAAATGCAAATATTGCATAGAAGTAGTGTCTTGATTACATCAAATTTTCTTTATCATATAAAGTCTGTATTACAAATAAAATATTTTTAGTGTTCTTTGTACTCGTATGAAGGTTTTACTGTGTTTGAAATATTCATGAATTTGTGCTCCATATAAACTACATATTATGGAAAAAACAAAATTATATTTCAAATTACCTAAATCTCAACCTTGTATTGTAAAACATATTCCAAATGCTCTAGTTAATTGATCCAATTTGCCATTATTTTTAAACATTGGTGTATAAGACGACAATTTGTTGACCGACAATTATATAAACCAACAGTATAATTGCCTCTTTGGTCGGATTTTTAAAAAATAGCTTTTGTTCTGTTAAATCTTTTGTTGGTTCATTTTAGAATCAAAAATCTTTAAATTCAGATTCCTATTCCTTATCCAATGTACGAAAACACAAACAATTATATTTCTTGCACTCATAATTTGTATTGATTTTTAAAATATGTTTTTTATCAGGACCTAATCTATTACATGATGCAAACCACTATAATCAGTAGCTTTATTAAATACATTCGATTCTAAAGAAGGATATTTAAATAATTTTAAATTCTTCAACTAATCTCACCTCAGTTTTCTTGGCAATTTTCATCATTTTTTTTAGAATTTATTCCAAAGTGAATTTAAAATATTTATAAGGTTTTTTCGATTGAATTTAAATTACACCTAAAAATGTTTAAAATGTTTTAATTTTAATGTTTTTTAAGTCTGAGTCTAACTAAACCTTTGCAATAATTTTAACACAAAACACCTAATATTTTATTATTTTTATTAAATTATTTTATTAATAATTAATTTTAAACAAATTCAAATAAATTGTGTGTATATCTGTTCGGTTTCAATAATTGTAATTAAACTATTCTAATTCTTCTTCAGCTTTAATTAATTCTTTTATGCCCTCTTGTAAGCATTGTAAAATTTCGAATTCGGAATGTCCAAGACAACGTTTATTTGAAATATCCAATACACCTTCTTCAAGAGTGGTATATACGTCGGCTGTATCACGTACTTGTAATTGAAGTTGATTTAACATCTCCTTAAATCTGTCATCATCTCTTGATAAATTTGGTAATCGAATATGAACACCTAAAAAGCATATTGTGTATACTTAATAAATTGTAAACCGTAATATCGGAATTTTAGTATAACACTGCATTTCTGCACAATTCAGCATATAAGCTGTTATTGCTAAATTGTGTATTCTGCAATTCCGATGTTTGGAAAAGAAATTTAAATTATAAAATTATCAAATTTTAATATTTCCTTATTTTTGATTTATGAATACTTACTTGCTTTTAAAGATGTACCCAAATTACAAGGATTTATTGTTACATTACCATATTTTGAATGTCTTTCAACTTTAATTGAATTTTCAATAGTTTGAACACCATCGACAAGCCTATTGTATACTTCACCTTCAATTCGAAATAAAAATAAGTTTAATATTATCTTATTTTTCAATTAAATACGATATTACCTAAATTTCCTCCTTTGCTCATAGAAATAATACGCATATGATCTTGTTCATTTACCCAAACAATAAAATTTTCTTTTTCATTTGTATATATACCACGACCGGTCGGCCAATATCGGTAGCAACCAGCTGCTGATAAATATTCATTACCTTTTTTGTATAGAATGTGGTTTTTTATCATTTGTTCCTGTGTTACTAAATCGATTTCTTTCAATGTCCTATAATTTCCAGATAAATCACCTTTAAGTTGTTCGCATGCTTTTTTCACCTGTGAATGCATAATTTTATATACAATTTAATTTGATATACAACAATATGTACCCTCTGACTTCAAAGCTACACGTTCCAGCTAATGAGTTTATATTTGCTGAATTGTGTAACTATCAAAGTGATGGATACTCTTAAATATTATAATATTTTAGAAATTCTTATATACCTTATCTTCAATTTCTAAAAATTCTTCTTGTTTTAAAATTGGGGAAAAAGCTGTATTTTCTAAATTTCTAATAACACGGCATTTTGTTGATAAAATGTATTTCTCTTCAGGATCTAAATCTCCGATATCAGCAATATTACCCCAATCAATATCATTTTGTAATTTTTCAGCATTCGAATCTTCAATATTATGATATGATATTATAATTGGATCAAATAATGATTTATATGTATCATAACATTCTGGATCAGCAACATAAATTCCCAATTTTGATTCATGAAATTTCAAACCGGATTGTAAACAATCTAAAAGTGTTGCATTCTTTGTTGTATTTACACTTTTTAATTCTTCTAATATTTCATTGGTGAAATATTTTTTTAATAGTGAATCAGTTGTATCACTTTGTAATTTTTTCCAACCATCTTCAAGTAGAGATAAAATTTCACTTGGCGTACGTGTTCTGTTGTTAAATAATAAAAAATAAATACATTTATATATAAGTATACTGTAAAAAATTTGTTAAAAGTTGCTAAAATAAATTAAGTAACTCGCACTATGTTTACCATATCGTGCTACATATGTATGTGTGTACAATAAAAGGATAAATTAAATTCATTAAACACAGTTATACAAAATTTTTAATTTTCGGAATAAAAATCGAATGGCAAAGTATTTTAAGTTTAGGCTAACACAGAATGACCTTATTAGCCAAATTTTTTAAAAGATCTTTCTAAGGACCTGGAACCATGGAGAACAGGAAACTTTTCGAACCAAACTTGGTGAGATTTCGAAGACCTGTTCAACGATATTCCGCAAATTTATTGATTTTTTTTAAGACCAATTCTAGGTGTTTGTATGGGAAATATTTTGTTCATTTTAAATTTAGAATATTTTCACTACAACGTTTTGTTAAAAATATGCATGTATTCCAAATTTCAAATTTTTAGTGATTTGCGATCTACAATTAATTCGTCAACAGCTGATGGACAGACAGACGGATATAGCTAAATGGACTTAAAATTCGATTCTGAACAAGAATATAATATGCACATTATGGTAACGCAAGTGCGTCCTTCTTGGTGTTACATACTTCGTGCAAGAAAATTGATTATAATCGTACCCCGCCACTTCATATTCAAAACATATTTTGCAAGTAGATCGTTTAAACTGTTGGACTAAATGTGTTTATTTTTTAATTTTAAATGAAAATTTTTTATAGTGTACTTAAATTTCACTAAATTATATTAAAATTTATATTAAAAATATGCACAAACACACATTTGTACATATTGAAATTAGGATTTTATAAATTTTTGACTTACACATCAGCTCTAAATTTTTCTAATTCTTCTTCTAATTCAACAATTTTTAATTTTAATTTCTCATAATTCTCTTTTAATTCATCATAATCTTCATCATCTGGGCATGAATCACACATATATTTTCTTACATAACGTATACAATCATCTGGTTTATTTTGTTCTTCATATAATTTAATTAAAGCTCGACTTAAACTATCAATTAAACCGCAACGTTCAAGATATTTACGAAATTGTTCACGTTTTGCTTCAATCTAATTTTATAAATTTTATTTTGTAATTAAATTAATTAAATTAATTAGTAATATTTAATAAAAATTTTTTGAGAACTTACCGTTGCCATTATTTGATTTTTTTATTTTAAATAAAAATTAACCTGTTTTCTTTTTTAATTTAAATTTTTAATTTAATTTCCAATTTACGAAATGAAATTTATTGTTATGTAATAATTAAGATTTTAGAAAAGCAAGATAGAATATTTGTTTTTACTAAAAATAAACTAAAAATTTTTAAATTAAATTTTTTGTTTTTGGCAATTAATAGTCAAATAAACACAATTATAGCCTACTATTATAAATAATAATTTTTTTTTTTAAATAATTTAAAAATTTATAATTTAAATGTCATTTAGCAGGTTCTTAACATTTAATGTTCGTTCATTATTTAATTTATTAGTAATTTATGCGAATTATTCTATGTATAAGGTTCCTACTTACTCCCTACACTATTACTGATATTTAAATGTACTTAAAAACAAAATTATTATACCCGTAAGTGTTGTACCTATTCCAAATTCTTATTTAAAATAAGAAACACAAAACAACAAAAAACCAAAATATTGATCAAACATTTTTATATTGTGTAGGTACCCGTACTTACTTATTTAATACAATAATTTAGTTATTTATTTACCTATATATTTGTTTTATAAAATAATAAAAAAAAAGTGTTCATAAATATTATCACGTGAAATTTTGTTTTGAAAACACAATTATTATTTGGGTTCGATGAGCACAACATAAAGTAAATTTGTGTAGGTATTCTGTTTATACACGTGGTATATGTTTATGGCATCCATTTAGGTTATTATTATAAAATTAAATGTTAAAGATTTAGAAAATTTATCATAATTACTATGGTTGTAATGAAAATTTCCTACAATTTGAAAAAAAAAAGCGAAATCCTGATTTATTAAGAGCCCGTAAATATGCAATTAGTATTTTTTAAAGTTAAATACATAAATACACAATGTGTGTTAAGTGAATAAAATAATTTCGTCGGTTTTAAGGAAAACTTACCTGCTGCTGATAAATTAATTAGTAGTTTTTCTGCTTTATTTAACAATTAAAATTGTATTGCTGAGTCTGTCGCACTGGATTTCTACTGGGGGGAGTACATGTTCTAGTTTGGAAAGTAATCAGTGCCTTAACTAATATAGAACTTATACCATTATTCTTATAGGTCATTAAGAATAGATAAAATTTTTGATTGTAACTAGGTGTCAAATCTCAACGATTTCCGAGATGCAGAGATTTTAACGAATTTTCATGAAATTTCTACTTTTTCTCAATTTTTTTTTTTTTTTGCTTCCTACTTTCCTTCAGAAAAAGAGAGAAGCTTTAAACAAAGAACTTATAAAACCGCTAGAGTAAAGGGCTTGAAATAAACAAATTTAGCAAGAATACCAAAAATTCTAATTTTATAAATAAATTTCGAAATATTTGCTAAATTTTAATGAAAATATTGAGAATTTTACCAAATTCTCCAATTACATTTTGAATATTATCCTTTTTCTCGTCAAGATTTAATTTAAAATATTTCAGTTAATTTTCCGCATTTAAATACATATGTATATGTGTGTGAATATAATAAATCATTGTATTTTTTACATGGAGTAATAAACACGCGATGCATTAAATAAAATTTAGTTGGAAAAACTTAAACAGAATAACTAAAAAAAAAAGAAATTTATACAAAATATCGCGTGCCTATTTTGATTTCCTCGACATAAATAAATATGAACGTAAATCTACAATTATGTTTTGTCTAATTTTAATTTCTTTGTTTTTCAAGTACCCTATATATAATAGGAATACAAAAATATTTTTGCCCTAGACTTGGAGCAAAAAACCAGGTCATATTTCTAATAGACTATAATGAAAAACGGATAGAATGAAATTCGTATACGATATAACAAAATAAAAAAAAATATTTATAAAAATTAATTTGATTCTAGTTTTAACATTAAAATTGAAAATTTTAACATTCTAGTAAATAATAACTTAATCGATATTATTGACATGAAATTTATACAATATCAAGGTTTTTAACAAAATAATAATTATGAACTGGGGGAAGATTTAAAATTTCACTGACAAAATACCTATTAAATGCGGAAAAAAATATTGACTGATTTAATGGAATTGATTGATTTCATTTTATAAAATTATGACCTACTGTATGCATATCGAAAAAAAAATCTTAATCAATTTTTTAAGATTCATGCTAGAATTTTAATATTAGCTCTACATACTATTTTAAATCTGAAATTTTGATTATATGTGTGTCAAATAATTAAAATAGTTCAAATTTATAACTAGAATGACAAAAATATCAATAATTCATTAAGTTTTAGTCTTCAATGCAAAAATAGTCTAGCGAAATTAGACTAAATTAATTGAATTTTAATAATGCAATTAATATTAATACCATTTGGCTGAATTCAACTTAAGAATAAATTTTCTTAATTAATTTTAGAAACCATTTATTTTTTCTAAAATTCATGTATAGAATTACACAGGTTTTTTTTCATTTAAATCAATTCTCTCGCAGCGTGCTTGTAAGATTTTTAGGAAAATCAAAATTAGAATTTTAAGCATCACAATCACGCCGTCATCCTTCTTGCACTCTCATAAATGCTAATTACAAAATTTGCCGAAAATCAGAAAAACTGAACTATTGAATAATATCAAAAAATTTGAACAAAATATAAATATTTCAAAATTTTCCCCAAAAACTGCACATAATTGAAGAAACAGTAAGAAATTTCCTAAAAGAAAAAATTATAAATTATTAATAATATTAATTAAAAAAATATTGATACTTTTAAATTAATTTTAAATTTAATTTTTATTTTATTATTTAATTATAGGCTTGTTTGAATATTGATTATCTTCCATTATCATTTGCAAAAAAACCCCATACATTAAATGGTAAAATGGTTTTTGGATTACTAAAGGATGATGAAGAATGTCCAGTAAATGCATCACAAATAATTTTATCAGCAACAGCTGGAGTAAGAAATTTAAAAAAAAAAAAAAATTGTAAGAAAATTTTAACGAAATTCTTTTTTTTTTTTGTTTCGTTTTAGACTTCTGACAATACCAGTTTAATGTATCAAAATCCCGATTTAAGTGAAAAAGATTTATGTCCCAAGGAAATGTTAAAATTAATGCCAATACCATTATCAAATTTTTGTAATCGTGAACATTTTAAAAATTTAACATCAGTTATTAATTATAAAATTGAAATGGAATTTCAAAATGTAAGAAATTTTGAAAAAAAAAAAAATTTACAACTTCCGTAAACTTTTCCAAATGGATTAATAATTTTTTTAATATATGTAAATATTTTCATTGTAGATGCCAGAACGTTTTGAATTTTGGGCAAATCGTTTAGATCATTTAGTTGCTGCATTATCAGAAGAGAAACTTAATAGCTTAGGTCTAAATAAACAATTAAGTGTTAATGTACATATACCAAAAGATCAACATTGGTTAACAATCGATGTTAATAATGTAACATCAAAAATTTATCATGTACCATTTTTACAAATGTTATATGATTTAAATTATGAGAATGGTGAATTTAATTTTGAACATGATTCCGGAATAATTAGTGAGTTTTTAAAAATCAAATGATTCAATAAATGACAAAAAAAAATTTATATTTTTTTTTTAGGATCCTGTTCTATTATTCGAAATACTGTTAGTACATTTGATGGAAATACAATTTCGGCAACACCATTTTTACATACAAATAATGAAACATGCTCAACATTATTAGTTGGAGATTGTTCAACAGAGCCAAAGATGGCAATATTTTTAACTGAATCATCATCATCTCCAATATTATCGTCATCATCATTGAATGAAACTGAAACAATATTTGGCATAAAAGTTTATGTAGGAGGAAATTATTTTACAGTGAAACAACAAGATACAATTCCAGGCAGCCCAGTTATTATTAATGTAAATGATGAACTAGAAATAAATATTAGAGAAAAAGTTTTCGTTTACCCAAGTGGTGAAGAAAATTATGATTTTAAGTAAGTCTAAATAAAATAATATTTTATTAATTATTAATTCTAAAATTTTCAAATTGTTTAAGAAAAATAATTTTTATAAAATTTTTTTTTTACATTTTTTAGAATTGAAATTAATGAACAGAATATTTTAATTATTGAAAATGAATTGTTATGGACGACAATACAATACGATATGAAAGATATTTTAAATATTGAAGTTTTAAATATTTTCAAAGATAAAATGTGTGGTCTTTGCGGTGGCAATTCATTATACCAAATGGAAAATTATCATTATTGTAAATAATAGTGTACATGTATATAAATATTTATATATAGGTTATATATATATATATATATATATAAATATCTAAATATAAGTACATATATTTTTATTTTTTAATACTATTAAAATTGTAATATAGCGATTATAAAAAAATAATAATATAGAATTAGTAAGAAATATGTATGAAATTGTAATTTAAATTAAGAAAATTTTAATTATATTTTATTAAAATATTGAATTTTGATTATTATTATAGTTGTAGGTATTATTCTTATAAATATACAAAATGTGAGATTATTTTAATTTGTATATTATATTTGTTGAAAAAAATTAATGACAAATTTTTGCTAAGAAAATTAAAACAAAATAAAATGAAAAAGTTGTAGTTTGAAAATTTAATTGAGTTGTATAACATAATTTATTAATAAATACTAATTATACTTTTTATTAATAAAAATTTAAATGAAAAAATATTTTTGCTATAAAATTTGCATTATTTTATTTACTAAAACCTGGGCCTAAAAATATTTTTTTATTACTTGTCTAGAATGTCTATATTGTAAAGCAAATTACAAGTATGTACATTCAAAACATAGGGGGTTTTCGTTTATGCACGCTGCGCTGAAACTTCTACATTAGAACTAAAATTTCTAAGCCGCAGCGTTAAACAGTATGCTAAAACTTCAGCTAAGTTTTTTTAGTTTACGCAGTCTACAAATTTTGAAACTTTTAAATAATCAGTCGTTCGAAAATAACAAAAAACAGAAATGACATTGTTTATGAAATAGTATCGCAATAATTTTCGCCCTTCAATTCACTGCAAAATATGGAAATTTTAAAAAGATTTGAAAACTTAAAGAAAACATACTTTAATAATCCTTCAATATCTGAATCTGAAATTTAAAATTTTTTTGAATTTGAAATTTGAAAAGAAAAAAAAAAAGTTTCAGGAGGCAGCGAGAAAATTTAAACTAAAAGTTTGCGCTACATTTCTTTATTAAAGATTGAATTTTCGAACGCACTTTATTGCAGCCAGTAATTTCCGAACGATCTATATTTTTTAGTGTATGTAGCGTGAATTTTCGAACGTGCTACAAGCTAAAACTATTCTAGAGCTGAATAAATGAAAACCCCCATACTTTTGAAAAATATGTACTTGTGGTTTGTTCAATAATATTTATTATCACATTATGTCAGCAATTTTGTTTAATAACTAAATCTTTTTATCAAATAGGTCATAATATTCCCAAACTACATTAAAACATGAGTAATTTTTGTAATTATAAATTTTTTGTCTTTATTTGATTATTTTAAACAAACTATAATTTGCAAATTTTCTCTACATTAATATTTCTTTACAATAATATTTACTTATCCTTTTTCTTTTAACTACATTTTTTGTTTTCACTTTGTTAAAATTCAATATTATTCAAATATTTATTTTTTAATTAACATTCAACATTTTATAGGTATATTATTTGAAATTAAAAAATGTTAATACACTATTTTTTTGATATTATTTATTGAATTAATTTTTAATTCAAATAAATTTTAGAATTACTTCATTCAAATAGTATGTATAATTTTTATATTCTTTTTATTAATTTTTGAGTACATTGCTACATAGTATAATTTTAAAATTAGACAAATAATTTTAATAACATTTATATTAGATAATAAATTTTATTAGTAATATTAATTTACTTATAAATTTTGTAAAATGGCAATAAATTCTAAATAATGTGCTAAATTTAGTTTCTTACTATATAATATAGTTTTTAAATAATTTGGTTATTCTCAATAAGGAAAATAATTTTATAATTTTTATGAAATTTCAATTAGGAGCTCATCATTTAAATTATATAAAAAAAACAGCACTTTTATTATTGTATTATTTAGGTTGAAAATTATATAAAATTCTTATTTTTACAATTAAATTTTGTATTCGTTATGACATAATTATTATGTGCATATACATAGTTTAAATAAATGGTTTATAGGTCCATTTATTTCTTTTATAATTAATGAAAAATCGAATCAAATTTTAATATTTTTAAAATGAATCTTATAAGACTAGATGTGATGGATAATTTGAATAAAAGAATTTATTTTTTTGTAGCTTTTAAAAAAATTATTTTTATATAACTTTTTTAAATAATGGAATGTAAAAATTATATTTGGAATGCCATTAATTAAAAATGATTTAAAGAATTATTTTGATGAGAGTTTTTAACTAAAACAAAAAAAAAAAGTTAAAATAAATGCTTAATATGAACAAAGTATAATTAAATGATTTGTACTTTGGAAATTAAAACAAAATTTATTGAAGTGTAATAAGACGAACAAAATAAATCTTTTAATCGATTAATATAATTTTATTTTTAAAAAACAAACCACAAATTCACACACAAAATCAAAAAATTTATAAAACAAAAATTAAGAATTTCAATAAAATATTCTTATTACACTTCAACATATTTTTTTTAATCTTATTTATATGATGTTTGTTAAAAATAAATTTTTTTTTTATATTTTTCAATAATAATACTCAAAAAAATAAAAATTTTCAATATATTTAAAAAAAAAAAACAAAATTATGTCTTTTAGAAGTGCATTTTTACAAAATAATATTGCATGTAAAATAATAAAGGCAGTTGTAGCAACTATATTCAAACTAATGTATGTATTAATTTTAACATTTAACGTTCAGAAGATATTTTTAATATATTATATAACAAAGCTCCGAAAATTTTTTTTTAAATTTAATATATTTTACAATTTTTTAAGAAAAATCAGACTTTTTTTTTTAATGTTAATAACCAAAACATTTCTTTATTTTCATATTATTCCGAATAATATTATTGTGGACGGAGGAAAATATACGTCTCACGCAAAAAAAAACTAAAAAAATTAAAATGTTAATTGTACTTCTGAACGTTTAAAACTTATCTAAATAAAATTTATAATATATTTAAACCTAAAAATAAAAAATATATTGGAGAAAAATAAAAATGGAAAGAATATCTATCACATTTAAATATTTTAAAATTAAAAAATATTAAAATATAATATAAAAATTATTAATGCAAATATTTATAATAAAAAAAAATTATAAAAAAAACGGCAACAATTTGTAAAAAAAAAAGAACCAATTTTGCTTGAAAACAAGCTTTTCTGTAAGTACCATATATATATATCATTAGAAACTTATAGATTTCTGGAAAATATTTCCAGTTTTGTATGAGGTTTCATTAAGCATATTTTATTTCATGTGGAAATGAAAAATTATTATCTTTTCATTATCAGTAAAACTGTTATTGAAGAATTTATTAAATTTTATTAGCTTTTCATTTTGGAAATTTCCCCACGAAATAATTGTCCAATACTTAATTTTTGAGCATTTATCTATATAATTATTTAATTTAATTTAAATAAACTTCCATTATTACACCAAAAAATTTGTTGTGACACTTTCTCCTTTTCTTTTTTTATTTTATACTTAATAATAATAAAAAAAAAAAAATAAATGAAAATTAAATACTATAAAATTTTCTTAACTACAATTTTTCTATTTAAACTAACTTTTTAATTTTAGAGTAAAATGTGCAGAAATTTGAATATTTACTGCTTTCTTTTGTTGCAAAAAGCAGCAAATGGATATTATTTTAAATTATTCAATTTGTATTTGAAAACAAATCTAATTTATACCCAAACACCATGTGGATTTTTGCTTGTTGGAACAGCATTTTCAAGTTGTCTTGGAGATCCAATAATACGACGTGTACTTCCTGGTCGATTAGAACCTTAACATCATAAAAATTTAAAAACAAAATTAGATTAAATTTATTATATTTATTATTTTCATTTGAAATTACAGACCTTCAAGTAAATGTCGTATTTCATCAGATGGTGTTACAGTTAAACTTTGTAAATTAACTTCTTTCATTTCATTAACAAGTTGTTCAACCTAGAATTTTAATAATGTGGTAAAATTATGTTTAACTGACAATTAGGTATTACTTGACGTTTTTTCTCTGCAATAGCATTCTCTATTAAAATGATTTCCTTTTTCAAATTTTCTGTAGTTTTGGTTGATGATTCTGTATTTTGAATAGCAAGATCTATTTCAGTTTGTATACGTTCCATTTCACTTAAGAAATTTCTTTCAACATTTTGTCTACAAAAAAAATTTCAAATTTATGTATGTAATGATTTATGTTGTGATTTTACAATAAAAAATACCTGTTATCCTTTTGTCTATTACTAAGTTGTCTTTGTTCAATTTGAATTTCGTCCATAAGTAAGCGAATTTTATTTTTGCATTGAAGTAATTCAGTCTCACAATTCGCCAATTTTGACCTTAGTAGCGTTATCTCGGATTTTAAAGTCTTTTCTTGTTGCTTAACAAGCTCATTTTCCTCTTCAACATATTGTAAAGTTTGCAGCTTAAAATCAAATTGGTTTATAAAAATAGTTTATAAAAATAAATTTTAAAAATGGATATAATCTTTATACCTGTTCATTGCCTTGCCTAAACATTTGATCCGTTTTGCTTATTTCTCTAGATATGGATTCTAATTCTTGTACTTGATCTCGTTCTTTACTCTCAAGGTAAACTATTTCTGCGTCATACTTAAAATAAAAAAAAATTGGTTAATGTGTCGACAATTTTGTTTTAAAAAATTTTTTTACTTTGGTTAAATCAGCTTGCTGGGAGTTTATTTTATCTCTTTGCAATTTAATTAATTGTATCAAATCTTTATATTGGATGTTTTGCAAAACATTTTCATTTAAATCAAAATCATTTATATTAAAGTAAGTAGCAAGATTCATATTATCTTTGTTATCTGTTGATTTCTTTGAATTGCTACTACTGTTGTTATTATAGGAATCCATTTTTTGAAGGGGGCTGTTTCGAGGTGGTGGAGGATCTCTATATGGCGGTGGTACTAAGGCACCATTTGATGAAATTTGTGGCTGTTGTAATTGTTGAGGAGATGATGATGGTGACGTAATACTATTAACTCTGTTAACATTTAACATATCTAAAAGATTTTCATTGCTAGAATTTTTAACTTGAACTAATTCATTTTGATATAAATTATTTCCAGTTCTGCGATCTAATGAATTTCTAACTTCTGCTAAATTAATTTCATTAGAATTTGCACTAAACATGCTATTATCATCATTTGATAATGGTAAACTAATACTTGACGGTGTCTTTTCATGCTTAACATTAATTTTTTGTGGAGAGTTGCTGGGAGATTGATGTGGGTTTTGTTGCTGCAAATTGTTTGACTGTTTCTGAGGAATTCCTTTCACAATTCCAATATTTTCTACCTGCTTTGTTTCAATCGAACTGTAAGAATAGTACATATTAATTTTTTTTTATTTTTAGAAAATTCATTAAATCTACCCAAAACTTTTTCTGTATTCTTTTGATCGATCTAAAGGAGAAAACTCAATAGAATTTTTTTCCGGAGATTTTGAACTACTACTCTGAGCTAATGCTGTATCTCTCTGCTGCTGAGTAAATTTGTCATCTTTTTTTATTTGATCCGATCTTTGTAATATAAACTGAACATCATTCGCATATTCACCCCATTTAAGTAAAATTTTTAAAGGGTTTTCATTTGGTGCTAATGATCTCTCATTGTTTCTCCATCTTTCAATTAATGTAAACCTTCCAACTTTGCCTGTCGCGTGAGCCAATGCAAAAACAATATCCTTGAAAAATAAAATTTTTAAAATAAGTTTTTCAAACTTGAAAACATATTAAGTAGTCCGAACAAGTAGAAATTAAGTAAATAAAAATGACTAACCTGACAGGTGGTATTAACTGTAACTCCGCATACGATTCTTTGTATTCCCTCAACATATACTTTAAACTCCATTATAGCGGAACAATATTTAAATAATAATAAATTTCTATTTATTTTGGGATTTTTCTTAAATTTTAACTAAATAATCGATAATTTCGTCATTTTGTTTTTTCTCTTCAGCACAGAAATAATAATAAGTAAAACAACAATGGCACAATGGCAGCCCAACCCAAAATGTCAAACAATTGTGATATGTCACTTTCATCCATTGACTTTTATTTTATAACAAAAACCTATTTGACATGTTTACACGATAGTGGATGAATGTATTATTGTATTCACTAAATCTCGAGTTTTTTTACTTTTTCACGATTGAAACATATTGATCTTAAACATACATTTTTATACTGATCTAAAATTGATTAACTTTATATAAACTTTTTCAAAATTATATGTAGTTTCATATGACTCCCAAAGTAAACTCAGAAAAATATTAAAATTTTTAATATTTTCTTAAACCCCGCTTAAACCTTCGAATGGTTGCTGTGCTAGAATATAATTATCGACTTGATTATCAAGTTTTAATTATTGAATGTAATATAAAGCCTTTGAATAATTGTATTTTGACAATTAAAATTGCAATATTTGCGATACTATTGCAACAGTTGCGGAAAAATCATTTAACATGTCCTACTATCAATACGAATTTATGGAAGTGAGATAAGTACTGACGGGTGATAACTGATATGTTACTCGTATCACACATTTTCACCGATTGCACCCAATATAATGTAAATTCTCACTTGATATAACTTGCAAATAAGTATTATGTAAAAGTGTCAATAAATTTTATTTAGAACTTCACTTTTGAAACTTTAAATATTATAATGATCGAAAGACTTGTTCAGTACCATATTGAGATTTGTTAGTACCAGTTTGATATTTGTTTAAGCCAAATTTTTTCATATGCTAGTTCTAAATTAATTTGCTTGAATTTTGACGTAAAACGTATATATCGTTTGACGCTGGATGTATAGCTCAACATTCTATTAGTATACATAGTATGTTTTATAAAATTACATTAAGGGGAAATCGTACTAAAGATTTGTTTTGTAAATATGAACCAACTTATTCACTATCTATAAACAAATTTTGCTAAGTACATACAATATACGTACATATGATATTTATTTAAAAATGTCTGGTAGGATTTTCAATCCCAAATTATATAGCAATGTTTACAAAAAACTTTTAGTGGAAGAGCTAGTTTTTATTGAAAACTATTTAGACTTTCATTATGGCAATTGTGCAGTTATTGGCAAAATATTTAAAGATGAATGTAGTTATTTCTTAGAGAATATAAGATTGTCCTGTCTTGGGAGGTAAATTTTGAAAGACAAATTGGAGATACATAGGTACATGTTATTTATTTAAACATTTTACTTTTAGAGAACATGAAATACCAGAAGGTTCAGTTAAAGTTCGTCTTTTAACAAATTTGTATGGAGATTTTATCCCAGATAAAAAAACGGCAGAAGTGTATGGAAATGCAGTATTTTATAATATAAATTCTCCAAATGAAAATCAAATGCCAGTTACTCTACAAGATATTTATTATCAATTTAATAAATTTTGTGATACCAACGAAATTGAAGTAGAAAATTTAGATGTAGATAATATGAAAAAAATATTTAATCAAAGTTTATTAGATAAATATGAACCAGCAATTCAAATTCGTTTTATAAATCTTTGTGACCAACCAGCGGAATTAATTGCTTATAATTTAGAAATACGTCATTTTAGTTGAGCTATTTGGATCTGATTTTTCTTCAACGATAAAAACATTTTTTGTTTTCCTATCATACCTACACAAGATTATTGAATAAATATTACTATATCTCTTTAATCTGCTTCTATTATTATTTTAAACATTTTTATCTTTCAATAAACCTTTGGCTACCTGTTCTTTTTAAAATGTTTCTTTAGGTTTGACTTTGAACAGAAACTGTAAGACCTAAAATTTTATAGTCATGATTTTAACCACCCATATTTTGTTAGTCGCACCACATGATGTGATGGATTGTTATTCAAAAAAATTGTAAATATTCGTGAATAAAATCAATTCCAAAATTCGAAATTTCATACTGAAGAACAAAATTCTTTTCAATAACATCCTATCGCCTTATGTGATACTAAGAAATGAAGAATAAGGGTGAATAATTACAGAAAATTGAATTCCACAGATGCGATTTATAAGAGTAATTATCACAAATACTTAAAAATTTGTTATAAATTTAATAAATAAAATTAATTATTTAAAATGGAAATAAAAATTTTTTTTATTGTTTTTAAAAAATATAATATAATAAAATATGATAAGTTCATTTTAAATATGTAAAAAGTAGGTACATATTTATAAATATAATATGTTGTAATATAATTGTGTTTTTATATTGTGCTAAATATAAAATAATTAAAATTATAATATTTTTTTTTTTCATTTAAAATGTGTTTTCCTTCTAATTTTTGTTTTTTCTTAAATTTACAATTTAACTAAATATAATATAATCTAGAATTTTTCGAATTAACTATTTACTAAGTTTTGTTTTCTTTCTTAAAAACTGAATACTTATTTTATATTTTTTTAATAAAATTTTAGTTTTTTTTTTAATAAATTAAATTTTTTTTTTCGCTTAATCGCACACCAATTATAAAATAAATCACATACAATTTTCTGTTCACTATTTTTATATTTAACAATTAACTTAATTTTAATAGAATAATAATGAAAAACATTTTTTAAAATACAAAATTATTACATATCTTTATAGACAATAATATAATAATTTTAGGAATTCTTAGGAATTCAGTAAAAATTTACTAAATATTCGATAAAATTCATCTTATAGCGGAGAAAAATAAAAAATAAATGAAAAATTTCAATGTTTTACATATATAACAAACTTGTAAATATTTTCAATCCAATATTTATATAAACTAATAATTTGAGTTTTCTTTGAAATTTTTTTTTTACAGAAAAATTTTTAAAAATTTCTTAAATTTAATTTTATTTTGCAATAATAAATTTTTTTTAGTGACGAACAAAAAAAAATTTCAGAATTTTTCTAAATTTCATATAACTCCGCCATAAAAACTTTAACTATTTCATAAATTTATTAATTTAAAATAAAGAAAAAATACTTTAATTTTCTAATTAATGTAACAAAAATTAAGAAAGATTTTTACATTTATTTTGGAACTTTTTTTAAGGAATTTTTTTTTAATTACCTTGATATAAAATCAGCTAATAATTCTAATAAATGTAGTAAGTATGCATATCTCAATTAATATTGTTAAATTTATATTAATTATAAGTAATTTTATATAAAATAAAATAAGATATAGTATTTATTACCACACTTCAATGGTAAATTATTAAATATCAAATAATAAAATTTTGAATTAAAAATTTTTGATCGTTTTATTTATTAATACAAATATTTTGTATAAAAGATAATTTATACAAAAATTTGTAATTTAAGCAATAAAATAAAAGTAAGTAGTAGTTATATTTTTAAGATAGCACAAGTTTTTGAAATAAAATTTAAATACTAAAAAATTAATAATTTCAGAAAACTAAAATGAAACTATTTTAATTAGTTATTCAATATAAATATTTGAATATGATTATTTTATACATTTTATTCTAAAATTATAAAAATTTTAAGTCTAGCCACTTATAAATAAAAATTATTATAAATACTTTGACGAAATAAAAAAAAAAATAATGGTATGTTTGTATATTTAATAACATTAAGAAATATTTCAAATAAATGTTGTGTTGTACTATTGTGCTTCATATCGTAATATTAATAATGGTGTTTTTAATATAATATTATAAAAACAAAACAAAAAAAAGAGGGAACAAAATAAATTAAGCAAAAATTTAATAAAAAAAAAAAAACAAACTGACAACAAAAAATATCATATTTATCAAGGATTTACATAAAATAATAACAAAAAAAAAAAAAGTAAAATATAAAAAAATACTAAATAACTAAAACTTACCTTGCTAAACTTACAAAATAAAAATTAAAATAATAATTGTAATTATTAAATTATAAATATATGCATTGTATTTTAGAATACCAACAGAAGTCAAACAATTTCAAGAAATTTTTTAAATAATAATCGTAATATTTTTATATAATTAATTGTTAAAAAATATTATTTGAAATGCAAATCTAAATAAAGATATTAAATACGTGAGATATTTCAAAAATTATTCTATGAAATAATAATAAAAATATTGAATTTAATTATTGGAATTTTTAAATTTTAACCATCAAGAATTTAGAATATCAAATCAATTTCAGTACATTTCTTTTTTGACTTAAATAAAAGTCCTTAATAATAACATATTGTAAAAAAAAGATTCTACTACAATTCAAAAAAAAACTTAAAATTGAAAAATAATGATGGACAAAAAGTGATTCATTTTCTTTTTAATATCTAAATCGCATTTTAAATGCACAAATCTATATTATCACTTTTTTACTACAGAAGAAATTTTATAATATATTTTCATAAGTTTTGATTTCGTTTTTTTTTAATTTTTTTTAATTCATATTCTAGTATATTTTGTACTTTTAGTACTTTTGTATACTAAATTTGATTAAGTTTTTCTTAAATATATACAAAAACTGTTGTATATAAGATTTATATTGATAAATATGTATTTATATGTATGTTTTATGCCTGACTTCTGTTTACACAATTAATTATTATTTATTTTAAATAATTTGATATTTTATTTTTTTCATTATAATACATATATATATATGTAATCAATTAAACATGAAAATAGTCATCTACAACTAAAACACTACCATTTTCTTGAACATTTGTAGTTTTTGTTATATCTTTATCATTTGTCAAATTAATATCGGATACATCTTTAACTTTTTCATATGGATTTTCTTTCTTTTTATAATTATTTGAGTTTTCTAACTTCTTATTAGTTAATAATTCTGGTGATCTAGTACCAACTGGCGGTAAAGGTGGTGGAATATCTCTTTCCATTTGAATTTGCTCTTTTTGTTCCATATATAAATTATTTTTATTGGATAAATTCTTTTTTGTACCAATTGTTGAATATTTATGTTCTTCATCATTATTTTTTATTTCATTATATCTAGCTCCATCATTTTGATCGATAGTTGAATATATATCTGATGAGCATTTAATATCAGTATTGATATTATTATCGTTAATTAAATATTTACTTAAACTATCAGTTAATTTATATTCGTTGTTATTATTATTATTATTATTATTATACGTATTACTTATTTTTATATTATTATTGTTATTATTGTTATTATAATTTTTACTACTAATAGGATCATTTGATTGTTTAGCCTCTGATATACTAGCATAACCATGGTCTTTAAGATCAATTTTTTTATTAGAAATTTCCTTTATACTGCTATAGCCAGGCATATTTTCGTCATCTTCAACATTCGGTTTTCTTTCTTTTACTTTACTATAACCAGCTAAAATGTCATCATCTTCAATCTCGTTCCGATCTTTAACTTTACAATATCCAGCAGAAATATCATCATCATCTTTGTCAACCTTACGTTCTTTGACTTTACTGTATCCTGCTAGTACATCATCATCATCTTTATCTTTAACTTTACTGTAACCTGCAATTGTGTCATCATCACTTTTTCTCTCTTTAACTTTGCTATATCCAGCTAAAATATCATCGTCTTCATTATCATTACTTGAATTTGAACAAATAACTTGACGCATATCGTCTATGATTGCTGGCCGTTTTTCTAAAACTTTCGCGTACCCATCATCACCGGATGTATTGGTATAAATTTTATTAGTATTAAATGGTTGTAAAACTTCATAATTTGGATCATAATCAGAATTTGGCTTACTATTTTTTTCGTTATTGGCAACAGAAAGAAGAGGATTTTTTAATAAAGTTTCATAACCAGGATCATTTGTGTTGAGGGAAGATGTATCCGGTAAACTTTCATATCCAGGTTCTACAATTATAATGCCCGCCTTTTCCGTTTCTCCTGTTGTTTCCGTAAATAAAGAACGAACAACTGAGCAACCTTCAAAAGAATTTGTTTATGAAAATGGTATGTATAAGTGTAAAAAAAATTGTTACCTTCTGATTTTCTATTCTCAACAATATTTAAATTATTTCCATTTGTTTTATCGTAACTATCACTTCTAGGACGTGAATTTTCTAAAATAAAAACACATATTAATAAAAGTTTCGGTTTGAGTAAAAGCATTAATGTACCTATCTGTTTAAAAGAGTTACTTCTTTTCAGATCCGATATTTTTTCTACTACGTTGTTAATGTGACGTCTACCTAAGACTGGCGAATTGTTTTGTGATGGAGAGTTAGGATATTTTCCTTTTTTCATTACCTGCATCAAAATTTTGTGAACACATAAGTAATTTTAAAAAAAAAATTTTAGTGTTAAAAAACTGAAATTACCTTTGCATACATTCCATCAATATCTTTAGGGGGACTTTCTTCTACTACCGCCGAATTTCTCCCCGATTGATTCGATAAATTTGAAAAACTATTTCCATTTTTTGGAGTGGGTGGTAAAGGGGAATTTGCTTGTCTTTTTTCTGGTTTTGGGGAACCGATGTTTCCAATATAACTTACATTTGAAGAAGAAGAAGCTTGTCTTGAATGCATTGCAAATAATGAATCTACCGTTGGTGGAGCAGGTGTCTGATCTGTTGCGTGTATTGTGCTTGCATTTGAATGTAATGCTGTAGATGGTTGAGAGCTTAATGAAACATGTTCCATATCCAACCCACTACGCCGCGATGTTCCTGCCATAACTGTACTAATACAGATAGTCTGATTAGAATTTGATATAAGATTTCCTTGATGATACGATTGATTGATTTGAACAGTAACTAACTGATTAGTTGGCTGGATTTGTGCATATGTTTCTGAGCCACTATTATATATATCTCCAACATTATTAGGATCTTCAATAGCTGCATACATTTCATCTTAAATAGAAAATATTCTTGTAAAAATTAGCATGTTTTTGATAATAATTTTATACCAGAATCATCGGAAACCGTTGCATAATGAGAATCAGTCCTCTGTTTTGAAGATAGCCTTTGTTGTTGTTTTGTTTGTGCTATAATATTTGCTAAAGGTTCCCTTACACTTATACTTGTATAACCTTCTATAAGTATAATATAATATAGTATATATAATAAATAAATTAAAAACTTATTAAATTTGAGTAACTATATTCAATTACTTGAGGAATCTTGAGAGTCTCCACTAAAATTTGGCTGTGGTACTATTGGTGGTGTCATATAAGGTAATTCTTGACTGGCCGATATCATTCCTAACATAGCTGCCGCTGCTGGAATAACTTCTTGTGGTGAATTTTCACTTTCAGTTAAAGAACTATCAGAAATATTTTGATTTATATTTATTGGTGGAAGACTAGTGTCCTCAGTCTCATCTGTGTTTTCGTAGGGGTTCTCTTTATTACTAATAATAGTATTCCTACTAGTGCTTGGGGCATTTAACTGCGCATATGGATGTTCTTCGTTGGATTTTCTAACCTGAGAATTTATATCAAAATTGAAATAAAAGACTACAACAAAAGACTATAATAAAGCGTTACCTTGTCATAACCATGTGTGGGATTTTTTACTGTTGCGTAAGGTGAATTTACATCGGCTTGGCTGATAGAACTGTGTTGAGAAATACTAGTTTGTTTCTTTAAGCTCGGTGCTGCTATAATTGTGAACAAAATATTTTTTATTATAATTCTATGTGTATTGTTTAACTTACGACTCGGTTTCCCTTCTACTTTGTCTGCAACTGTCGCATATAAATCAGAATAGTTGTCATTTTGTCCTGACGGCTCTGTAATGGGAATGTCTGGAAGACTTCTTTGAGGAACACTGCTAGCTCTTGAAAATTATTAAAATACATGAAATTATTACATTAAGGGTTATTTAAATAACAGGCGGTTAAAAAAGTGATAATATAACAAAATAAACAACTTCAAATAATAATTTTTTGTTTTTCTGACAATAAAAAGCATCCCAATGAATATAAAAAACAAAAGCACAAAAAGAAAAACTAAAACAAAAATGAAACCTTTTGGATTCAGCATCGCCATTAGATGTTGTTGTTGAGCTAGTTTCAATTACTTGCACTACCAATGTACTATTAACATTTTCAACTTCAGTATTGTTTGGTTCAATTAGATTATTGTCCTCTGGGTTTTTTAGTTTAACCATTCCTTCTAATCCTTGGAACTCATTTCGCCTTAAAAATGTTAATAAACACAATAACAAAAAAAAAAACAGAAAAACAAAATACGAAAAATCACAGAATATTTCAAAAAGCAAAATATGAAATAAAACACAAAATGTATGTTATAATATTATTGTTGATGAAAAATATTAAGCTCAAAATTAAAATTAATAGTGCATTTTTACAAAAAATATGTAGCAACTTTCACTTATTGGAATTTTGAGATCCATTCAAAGCGTTGTATAAGTGCATCCAAATTAAAAAATTAAAAACTCACTTATGTATTTTCTTTCGACAGCAAAAACATGCTGTTATTGTTTCCATTATAGTTGAATAAAATTTAAACACTAATATTAAATTTAAAATAATACTATAAAAATTTAATTATTTTTTATTTACACTCTATAAATTTTTCTGACATTCTTTTGATGACAAATCTTGTGACACATATTGTTCATTTTCTTTTTATTTTTCTTTCCTGGAAATTCTGCTTTTTACATCGTTGAAGTTATGGCAGGGTTTCGTTACAAAAATCTGAAACCTTAAAGGTTTGAGTCCTGAGTAAACCATAAAATGCAAGTAGGTTTTGAAAAAACTATTTGGGAATCCATTTTATTTATTTTATTTTTAATTAAAAAGTTTTGAAAAAGAAAATTATTGTTGATAAAAAAATTTTTTTTTGAAAAATAAAACCTTCTGATATAACCAAGAAAAACAGCTGTTTCGACAGTTGTAAGATTTTTAAAACACTTACTTCACAAAACTTAAGGAAACTTTAAACATTTTTAAAGTTTTATAAAGTTTTTACAAAAATGTTCTTATACCAGACAGACCTATTAGTATATGTTATATAGATATCATTTCACAAAATCCTTTTAAAAAACATGAAAGTAATATATACAAAACAAAATGTAAAATTTTTTTATGTTTGTCATTATGATTATTAATTAAGCATTTCTGAAAACTAAATGACAATTAAAATAACACCAACTCTGCTTTATGCAAACTCTTAATTGCAAAATCTTTTGGTTTAGATCTTCACGTAACAAAAATATCAATATTTTCGTCAGCTGTGAATTAGATTATCAATTTTAATACATTTAACATAAATTTCAAAATTCACAATATTTTATTCTATGGCACTGCAAAAAATATGATCAAAGTCTAAATTAATTTCAATTATATGGCAATGATAGCAATAAAATCATGAGTAAATGTCAATTATTGTAAATTAATTAGTAGAAGGAAAAATAAGATTCCTGCAAAATGTTTATTTGCAGTGCGAATGGATTTTTAAAAAAATAATGCAACTTGTTGGATAACTTTTTCTTAAATAAAATAATTTTTAGTAGATTTAAATTTATATTTATTACATTTAAAATGTGATTTAATTTTAAATTTAATAATAAAATATGAATGTAAAATAATTTGTGAAAGAAAATCTTGATTGCTAGATAAAGAAAACAGATTTTTAAGATGTAAAAAAAAGCTTCTAATTTAAAAGTAAGTTATCAATTTCTTTAAAAAGTTGATATTAAAAAGTATTTAGATTGTTTTTCAAAATTTTTTTTTAAACACACAAATAACAAAAGAATTAAAAAATAAAGGTTACAAATGTAATAAATATCTGAAATTTATAGATAAGCGAAAATTAATTTACTTTGTTTTCATTTTAGTATTTTGTATATTTCAAGTATACATACATATCTACATGTTACATAGTAAAGTTCCTTTAAATCGTCGTGAAGTGTAGAGAATTCAATGATGATTTCTGAAAATACAACCATCTGATTCAATCCATCTCATAAAAAACGCATAGAGAGAAATTTTTTGAAGCATAAATGTTTAGTTGGAATTAACGTGTGGTCTTGTAAACATTGTAAAAAGAAATTTATCCGTGGAATATTTTTTTTTATAACAAGATATACCTAGTATATAAATAGGTATTATATACATACATATATATAAGTGATTTTATGTTTTGATTATTTTTTTTATGACTTCTTGTTTCTTTCCTTTTAAAGATGAAGTTTACATTTTAGTTAAAATAAAATAAAAGCAAAAAGAAGAAAAGTGAATAGAAAAATCAATAATCTTGAATCCTTGACAAAAAAGACAAAGAATAATGTTGAATAGTTAAAACCGTAAATTTTCTACTTTTATTATAATGATGATGATTCAGTTGTGTCGTTTTAATTGAAAAATCAATTTTATTTTAAGAAATTTTTTAACAAAATTTTTAATATCTACCTAATAGATACAGACCAAAACAAACAAAATAGATTCCTACAAAAATTTGTAAGTTATTAAATTTTTTATATTATGTTTTTTTATATAAAATTTATAAATTTCTTAATCATACACATTAAGTATACTTACTTATATTAAATTATTTTAGGTAAATTTTGTTATTGCATTTCTGTTTCAAATATTTAAATTGAAGTTACCTTGCACTTGCTACATAAAACAAACCAATTAAAAATTGAAGGTGAAGTGTTTGGATGTTTGACTCTAATATTAAATTATTATATTCAAAATCTTCAAGTTGCTATTTTAGAAACTAAGAGATTTCATTTAGTAATATTACTATAATCCTACTTACTTCAATAACAAATTAATATATTTCAAAGAATATAAGATAGGTAGGCACCTTCCTGCCTTCCTACCTACTAAATGAATATTTTTCTCTATTAACGTTATGATCATATGTTTTTTAATATTATGCTAGCTAGTTTCTCTGATGTTTTGGAATTTTTAATAGGTATATACCTATTATATTCATATTACTTACATATTAAACCTGTTTTTTACCTTGATTATAATTTTTTTTATTTGTTTTTCTATTACTTGCCTTTGCTTTTACTTTGTTCTCAGTTTTTTTTTTTTTGAATTTTTCGATTAAAATTAATCCTAAAATATCACATTTTTTTCCCTTACATTAATTTTTAAAATATGTGCTTCATCGTTTAAATAAATAATGTATGCATTTAGTTATTTTGTTTCTGGTTGGCGAAAAATTAACTACAAATGTTAGAGTGATGTTACTAGTTACAATAATACATATTAGTAAAATATGAGAGTAGTATTAATTTTAGTTAAGATTCCATTAAGTATGTCTGTACATTACAATACGTATTATAAGCTTTGTAATATACCTATGCACATACATAGCTATAGGTAACTATTAATTTTATTCAAAATTTTATTTTGTATTGTAATTAAATTTGTTTTGGTATTGCAGTTGCAGTTGAGATTAAAGTTCACTTATTTGTTTTAGCTTTGTATGTTATTGGAGGTTTGTCAATTCCCAATATTATACTTATTGGATTGATTAATTTTTTCTTTTTAGATATTTCAATTTTATTAAAAAAATTTCGGGGAAACTATTTTTAATTTTACTGTTTTTGAAAAATATCAAAGTTAATAAGGTTGAATTTTTGTTGATATTTTGTTTGCCTTACATTTTTCAATTGAATTTGTAATGTAGGTAATCTATCTATTTAAGCTACTATAAATTTTTTTTTAAATAACATTTAAAATCTTGGAAAATATTAAGAAGGGAAAAAAAATTTTAAATTATGCAAGACATTTCATAAATTCTAACCGAAAATAATACTTTATTTTTTTCGATATTTCCAAATTATTCTAGCTTAAACTAAATCTTTTTATGACACATCAAATTTTAATTTGTTTTAATTCTTACTTACATAATAAATACTAGCATTATTCTTAAATTACTATCTACATGCTACAAAATAATTATTCTTAAGTTATTTTGAATGTTTTTGTAGTTATTTTCGAAGAAAACAATAAAAATTTTAAATGCAATTTTATCATTACTTAGAAACCTTTTAATTTAAAGCTTAAATTACCTCATCTATCAAAATTTTTAACAAAAAAAAAAAGCAAAAACAATAGAGAACAAAAAATAAGTATTATTATTCAATCTTTTTTTTTTGTGTGAAAAATTATGGCATTCTATAAAAATTAGTAAAAAAGCACATCTGATTTTTTCGATTGTAAGAAAATATTTGATCACGTTTATAAAAATATAGTAGAGAAATATCGTAGAAAAAAAAACAATATTATGTAAATTGTGTTTTCTGTTTTGGTTTTTTGTTTTTATAAACAAAATACTTAATAAGTATTAAAAATTTAATTTTTAATTAAAATATCAAAGTAAATTTTTAATTTAAATAAGAAGTTAATAAATTTTTTTAATATAGAAGTATTTATAGTCATATGTAGTGTTTTTAGGTTTGAGTAAGCATTTTAGAAGAAAATTAATGGTATATTCTACATTCATCAATAAATTCAGTTTCTAAAGAAAAACCTCTTATTTATTTTCATTGACAAGAAGAATTAAAATTAATAAATTAGGAGCTTTATAACATTTTTAATAACAATCAATTCATTTTAAATAATGCCTTTTCATATATTTAGTTAAAATCCATTCAACATTAGTCATTCTAGTTTTAATTCCACTTTATTATTAACACCATACGATCCAATGATTCAAAAGATTATGTTATATAAAAACTTAAGCTTTTAATTTTAAAGTTACTCCCGACTTGATGACGTCTTAAATTGAAATTTAGGTTAACAAAATACATAATTGTTTTTCGTATAATCCGACTATCAGCAATAGCTTTAAAATTAATAAATACTAACTTAGTCAAATAGTCAATAAGCACTTCATAGCGACCAGATTGTTTTTTAATTCGATATTGTACTAATATATTGCATTTTTAAAAGACTGGGTATTTTATGTTTTTAAAGCTGATAAATATACATATGTACATTTATATGTAGGTACTTATATGGAAATTTTAAAAGTTCTGTCTCAAATTTTTCTGAGAGTAAAATCTAATTTTTTAATAATTTTATAGGCACTTACTATATATTTAATTAAAAGAGTCGTTAAGTATTTAATAGAAAATTTATTATTTATGACACGAGTCCATTAATTATTATTTTTTTTTTTTTTAAAAAGAGGCTTAACAGGAGATTTAAATGTTTTAATTAATTTTTTTTTATTTCAGTTGCTTAATTTATTAGCTCGGCTAGAGACATTCATTCTTATTTTAGTACTTCAATTTAATTTTCTAATATGATAAGCCATAATCAAGTATCCATTTAATTTTATTCATCTTTAACTAAATAGTTATTTATTTTAATTTAATCATATGTCTTCAGCGTTTTTGCAATAAACCAAATTTTCTCATTTTTCATAATATTATTTTTTATTTCGTTTTATTCTTCTCGTTCTCACTATATTAGAGAGCAATCTTTAAAATTTCAAAGATAAATAAATAAAGAGATATTATTATTATGTACATACTTACTGTTATAACAGCATTTCAATTAAGCTTTTGTTTATTCACAATAAATTTATAAAATGGCAAAAAAAAAGAAACGAAAAAAAAAAATTACTAAAACTAAAATTCCATAAAGAATAACAAAAATAAAAAAAACTAAAACTAAATGAGTAATCTGTCTGTCTCTGAATTCGTATAGAATTGTGACTAAAAGCAGTAAAAATAAAAAAAACGTGCAAAATAAAAAAAATTACTAACGAATAAAATGAGTGAGTACTTATAGCTTTTTTTTTTGTTTTTACTATTAGTAGACACGTAGAATACAGAAAAAATTATAATCAAAAAAAATAATAATAAAAATATTTTAAAGGAGAATTCAACACTAGCATTTTTTGTATTGGGCTACGTAAAAAAAATAATGCACATACGGTAAATATTAATGTACATACCTATGTATATATATATATGTATGTATATAGTTATTTACCTACCCCTAATCAAACCTTAATCAAACTTTTAATATGGCATATCATTCGCTCTTTCGTTATTGTCTTTATTTTTATATGTACAAATAAAATATAAAAAAGTTTAAATAAAATATTTTTGTTTGTGTTATTGTTGTTGTTATTATTACAATTTTTATTTGTTTTTTTGTTGTTATTTTTCTTTCATTTATTTTTTTTTTTTTTGTTTTTAATTATTATAATTTTCCAGACCAGACAACAAAAAGGTTAAAGAACTATTGTAGTTAGAGATGGCATTATTAGCCGTTTAATTCCAATTGGTTTTACTGTTCTGTTTGTTTTTTTAATTTTGTAATAAAAAACTGAAAGTATTTCGTATATTTCGTATATTTCATATCGTATATTTCTTTAATATGTACTTACTTGTATATAAATATATACATTTGTAATTATGTACATATTTTAAAAAGAACTATTTATTCATTTACCTATCTTATGGTTGTTATATGGTTTAATTAAGTTGATTGATTTCTTATACTTATATAAAAGTTCTTAAAAAGTTTAATAGAATTTCATTTTTTGTCTTTTTGTATAACATACTTTAATATATAAACGAACATATCCGTATGTAACTGAATAATAATATAAGGTATACGTGTGTAACCTATTAAACTATATTAATTACATATATTTAAATTAATTTTAAATATTTTTTCAATAAAAAAAAATATTATAATGTTTTAATAAGCTCATAGAATATAAGTATGTATGTACTTATGTAGTTAAATTTTTCATTCGATACAAAATAATATTTGAATAAATATTATTGAAAATATTTACATTTGATTAAGTTGCTATATAACCAAATACCTACTTGTAATTAAGATTTTTTGTTGGATTGTGGCAACAATAATTATTAATAAATTTTTTTCTGTTTGCAGAAAATAATAAAATATTAGAGTCTATTTTAGTATTAATAACGAATATTTTACAAAAACAATTGATAGTTTTCAGTGTTTATTAACTTGTGTTTAATTATAGTCACTTACACGGCTAGATTATTTTTCAATTTAATATTAAATATTAATTTAAATTTATTATAAAATTTGAAAAAAATCAATAAGAATTTTATATTATTCAATTAGGGTTTATTATGCCGATGCTAATTGAGTATATTATGTTTAATATGAAATTTATGGGACTACTTCCTTTATCAAGTGTTAAACGAGAACCAAAGCATAGAACGAAAATGTCGAACGATTTCCGTTGCTAACACAGAACAAAAACGAAATAGCAAAATCAGTTGCTATGTATTTTGCAAAAAAATGAGTGACATTTAAAATTTTCTAAATCAAAACATTCACACACACATGGAAAGACCAGTATTAATCAGACCAGTAGTAGAAAGAAATCACCAGTAGTAATATAAGATTTTAGGCTATTTTACTGTCGTAGATTAAATTCGTAACGGTAATTTCACTTCATTCTGGCCAGTACCATTAATATAATTAATATTATGTGTATTCTATATAAATTTTGACATTTCGTCGCGGAAAATTGCTTTTGCTCTGTTTTCAACTTAACTTGTTTTGTTTTTAATGATTTCTCAATATTGTCTATTTTACATGAGTTAAATAACATTTTAATCTAGACAGTATACAACATACAAAGTAATTGGAAATTTCTAAAATTTTTCAAAATTTAAAAAAATTATATATGTATAAAATTTTCTCATATGAATTATTCATATACAAAAAATTCTTATGGAAATAAGAAAATTTTTTTTTTTTGATCTACTAAAATTAGAATTGAGAATTTCATTGTAGTAAAAAGAACAAACATTTCTTTTATGTATTTTTTAAGAGATTAATCTCATGTAATAAATTAAGTATTAAGAATTTTTTTGTTTTATGTAAAATGCATTTAAAAAATGAATTAAAAATTAAATAAAAAGAGAAATATCGTGATGTCATTTATTATAATTGAAATTTTTGATCAAATTAACATAAAAAAAACAACAAACAAAAATACAAAACAAAAAAAGTAATTTTTTCCTTTCATTCCTCAACAAAAGGTTATTGACTGTACTATATTTGTACACAGTTGCCTTAAATCAAAACTATAATAAGTCCAATTTTAAACAAAACTTGTTTTTCTTTAAAATTTTTAGATTTTTGTTTTATTTTTAGCTTACGACTTATTATTTCTAAAGAACAAGTGAATTATAGGATTTGATTTCTAAGCGAATAAACAATTGAATTTAAAAAATTAACAAATTTTTACTGGCAATTTAATTTCTAATTAATATTTTAATTTCTATCCTGAAAAATTTTCTAAATACAACTTGGGATAGTTTTGATTTCAGACTATGATATTATCCATAAATTCACACACCCGCCATAGTACTTATATCTTAGTATGTACACGTAGTGTGTTTTAAAATATTTCATTTAATTGCTGTATTCCGGGAATAAGTTACATATATTTATACCATATACTTAGTATGAATACACTTATAAATTTCAATTAAATGTAGAGTATGATAACTGAAATAAGTTTATTAAGTGTTAATTGAATTATTATTAATTGAAACTTATCTGTTGTTTTTGAATCTGAAAAAAAAAATTTAATGAGATTTATTATGAGATAAATTTCATTCAGCTTTCATTGCTATTCGTATATATTTTTGTATTTGCTCTTATTTATAATGCAATTACGTACTTGTTTGAGTAACAAAATATAAGAAAAAAAGGAACAAAATATTTGTCGGATCATATTTTTTAAAAATTACATTGTTAAATTAAAAAATTTAAATGTAGAAATAAATTTTTAAAAATATTCTTTCTTGTGTTTATGACCTATTGTATAGGAGTATGGTAATTAAAAGTTATTTATTGCTGGAGTAAGTACTCTAAAAATGGAATCATTTTTGTAATCATCCGTCCAGCTTTACAAATACATTTTCCAATGTTATTGTACAATTTAATGACAATGTTTTCATATTCATACTGAAGAGTTTGAATCTTTTTGCCTTCTAATGACAATATTTAAATGATTTTGTTCTCTCAGTTTGTTAATAGTAACTGTTGTTGATAATAACAACTGTTGTTGATAAATTTGCGATAATGTCACTTTTTTGTTACTGCTATGATTATAATTCCGCCTTGACAATTTAATTGTTGCCAAATAATACAATTAGAATTACAATTTTTTCAAACCTTTTAATACTTAATTAGAATTTAATACGGACAATGAGAACTTATTTGTGTATTGTTAAAACACTGCCCTGGTTAATTACAGTTATAGTTACACATCAGAGCAGTTTTTAAAATTGAATCCAATTTATTTCATCGGTTCAGCAAAAGAATTGATTGATTTTTTTATAAATGTTTAAATATTTCCTCTTCTCCTCTCTTTCTTATTTATTTATTTCTTGTTACACATATTTTTTTTATACCCTGCACTTCGTGAAGGGTATATTAACTTTGGTATGGAGTTTGTAACTACTTGAAGGAGTCATCTGGGGTATGGACATATATATATATTCTTGCTCAGCGTAAAATTCTGCGTTGATTTAGACATGTCCGTCCGTCCGTCCGTCCGTCCGATCGCACGATAACTCAAAAACGAATAATGCAATCGACACCAAACTTTCACAAGTTGCTTCTTTTGTGCCAAGGACGAACCCTATTGTTATTGGACCAATTCGGACAACGGGTTCGGGTAGCTGCCATACAACTCCAAAAGCAAATTTTTTATATTCGGCAAAATAATAAAGTCAGATTCATGAAACTTGGCAGTCGTGTGTCCAATTATAGGTCAAATATATTTCTGAAGTTTTGATGGAATTGCTTGACAGGTTCGGGTACCTGCCATACAACTCCAGAAGCTAATTTTAAATATTCGGCAAAATAATAAAGTCAGATTCATGAAACTTGGCAGTCGTGTGTCCGAATATAGGTCAAATATATTTCTGAAGTTTTGATGGAATTGCTTGACAGGTTCGAGTAGCTCCCATACAAGTCTAAAAGCTTATTTTAAATATTTGAAGAATAATAAAGTCAGATTAATGAAACTTGGCAGTTGTGTGTCCAATTATAGGTCAATGATATTTCTGAAGTTTTGGTGGAATTGCTTGACAGGTTCGAGTGGCTCCCATACAAGTCCAAAAGCTTATTTTAAATATTTGGAAAAGTAATAAAGACAGATTCATGAAACTTGGCAGTTGTGTGTCCAATTATAGGTCAAAAATATTTCTGAAGTTTTGGTGGAATTGCTTGACAGGTTCGAGTGGCTCCCATACAAATCCAAAAGCTTATTTTAAATATTTGGAAAAGTAATAAAGACAGATTCATGAAACTTGGCAGTTGTGTGTCCAATTATAGGTCAAAGATATTTCTGAAGTTTTGGTGGAATTGCTTGACAGGTTCGAGTGGCTCCCATACAAGTCCAAAAGCTTATTTTAAATATTTAGAAAAGTAATAAAGTTAGATTCATGAAACTTGGCAGTTGTGTGTCCAATAATAGATCAGATATATTAGCGAAGTTTTAGTGGAATTGCTTGGCAGGTTCGGGTACCTGCCATACAACTCCAAAAGCTAATTTTAAATATTTGGAAAAATAATAAAGTCAGATTCACGAAACTTGGTAGTTGTGTGTTCAGTTA